ATTCACGCTGCACTATCTCATTCGGATTCGCGTGAACGAATATAACGAGATTGCAAGGTTATACTCAGCCATGGCGTCGTGGATAGTGCACTGTACTCGCAATCCAGATGTTGCTAGTTCAACTTCTCAGCGTGGCAGTTGAAGCCATGGGACATTTTCCTAAATAGCTGGCCACCTCTGCAAGGCTGGATTATGGACCGGGCCAGTGGGGTCAGTGCCCCAGGGCCTCGGACTGCCAGGGGGCCTCAAAGCCTCAGGCCGCGCGTGGCCCAAGACTTCCGAAGGCGGTACCTCGTACCGAATGGAAGAGATCAAAATCAAATTGATCACATTCTCATAAATGGCAAGTGGAAGAGGTCACTTTTGGATACAAGAGCACATAGGCGGGGGCGTGGGGGTAGACATGTATAGCGACCACCATCTCTCTCACCATCGCAAGGATCAGACTAAAGCTGAAGAAAACACAAGACGAAAAACCTGGACGAAAGAGACTGGACATTGAGACTCAAAAAACCCGGGACTAAAACATAAGTTTAAGCTAGAACTGAGGAGCTGGTTCAAAGCACTCCAGGACTTCAACACCACAGAAGAAAACTTAGTGGAGGATAAATGGGACATCAAGAAAGCCTACAACGAGGCGAGAAAATTATAGGTTACAAAAATAACTCAAATTTAACGGACTCCACTTGGAATTAAATCAAAGAAAGATCTAAAGCAAAAGAAAACCTGGCCAACACTCAATCTGCTCGATTAAAGGAAAAGAGGAAAATTGCATACAAATCATTGGACAAAGTAGTCAAAAAGAAAGCAAGAGCTGATAAGAGAGCTTACCATGAAAGCAAAGCTAAACTTGCTGAAAAGGCAGTGGCTGTAGGGTAAATAAGCACAGTCTACAAAATCACAAAATAACTTTGCGGAACAAGAGGTAAAACTCCACCAGTCAAAGACAACGAATGAAAGACCATCGCCACTCAGAAAGCCCAGGCAGAAAGATCAGCTGAGCATTTAAAACTGTCTAAAAGCAGACCTCAACCAACTTCTTAATTACAAGATGTCATATATGGCACACCACTACGGATTGATTCAGACCCCCCAACTAAAGAAGAGATCAGCAAAGCCATATCCACAATGAAATCAGGAAAGGCTCCAGGCATTGACACCATCCATGCTAAAATGCTCAAAGCAGGTTCAGAGACCGGCAAATGCACTCACAGACTTGTTCCAAAGCATCTGGGATGGGAACATCTTTTTCAAGGACTGGACGAAAGGCCTAATCGTGAGACTCCCAAACAAGGGAGAGCTTGGAAACTGCGACAACTGGCGAGGAATTGCATTCCTTTCGCTTCCTAGCAAGGTCTTTTACAAAATTCTGTTCAACAGGATTAAGTGCCCTTGACCAGACCCTGCAGAAAGAGCAAGTTGGCTTTAGAAAAAGGAGAGGCTTCATGGACCACATTCACTCTACACAATATCAATTTAATTGATTTGAAGAAAGCTTTCTATCGAGGTATTTCAAAGATCCTACCGACATATGCCATCCCACTAAAACTCTTTGAGTTGATCAAGAGCTACTGTGAAGAATGTGAATGTGCCAACCTGGTCAACAACACTACCTCAGACCAGAAACCCGTTACGTCAGGGGTACCCCCAAGGATGCATCCTTTCACCGATGATCTTAGATTTGAAGCTTTCGTGACTGCAAGGATTCATATTCTTAGGCTTTTTCGGTAAAGTCACGTGGGTAAAACATTAAAATTAATAAAAGTTAAATAAAATAAAAATCACGACGTTTCGGAGGCAACACAAGCTTCCTTCTTCAGGTGGAACCGTCACAGCCACGACAGGTGCATCAAGTAAATGAGAGATTACAAGAGCTACCACTCCGTATATATAATGGTTGAAGAGGGGAAGGGCCAAGTACGGCACACTTTTTAAATCCTTTATATTAAGTTCGCTTGCTTGCTTGCGTGCTTGCTTGCTTGCTTACGACCGTGCAAATCTTTCGGTCGTTTTTTAACCCACTTCCCGTGATCCAATCGAGCTGACATTTTGCACACACTCGTTGTGCGTGACAATTAATGTTCGTGAAATTTTTTTAAAAAATTTTTACACTGTTTAGGGAAAACAAATTAAATATTTAATTACCAATTGCTTAATGGTGGCAGGCAATCATCTGACCCATAGGTGGCAGCCATCTCAAGCCAGAGGACGAGAGGACTCTAGCCGCCACGCATATAAAGGATTTATAGTGAAAAACTTTGTTTTTACGGGTTATACTTGTTATTAATATGGTAAGGTGAGGCTTAAGACTAAGAATAGACTGCATAACAAAAGACTGAGCCCTTGCCATGGAGATGTGCGGCCCGTGATCACGCCCAGCCCACACAACAAAAGTGTACTTTTATTAATTTTAATGTTTTACCTACGTGACTTTACCGAAAAAACCTAAGAATACCGATGATCTTCCTGGTTGTGATTGACTGGGTTACGAGATGCACCACGAGAGACTTCCCAAGGGGAATCCAGTAGACTCTCTTCTCAGTGCTCAAAGATCTTGTTGGTTTCGCAGATGACTTGGCTCTGTTCTCCTCTCAATAAACCCATATGCAGGAGAAAACAACTCGATGGAGGCAGTTTGCTGACCAACTAGGCCTGCAGATAAATGTAGAAGAGTTTAAATTTAACACAACAAATACAGCAATCAAGAGAAATACACTGAAACAGGTTGAACGTTTTACATACCTTGGAACTTTGATAAGCAAAAGAAAACTCCACCTCAAAAGACATCCAAGTCTAGACTAAACAAGACAAGACGCACCTTCTTCCAACTGAGAAACATCTGGAAGTGTGGCCAATACAGTTTAAAGACAAAGGTATGAATCCATAACAGCAAAGTTGGAGAACCACCAAGAGAGACATGAACTCCATATTAACCTTCCACAACAGACAGGGGGAAATCTGTCGCATCTTCTGGCTAAACAAGATTTCAAACCGGGTCCTGCATATTAAAACCAATTCAAGAGGCGTAACGCTGGGACATGTGCTTAGAATGGAACCCGAATCGATAGTGAAAACTGCCCTAAGATAGACAGGCAGAATGGCGACGCAGCATTCAAGACCAACTAAAGACCATGGGCCTGTCTTGGGGTGAAGCAGAGAAAGTGTCTAAAGACCGTCCGGCATGGTGTGGGCTTGTTGCAGCCTTATGCTCCACCCGGAGCGAAGATGAGTAAGTTACGTTAACAAGTATAACCCGTAAAAACAAAGTTTTTCACTATAAATCCTTTATATGCGTGGCGGCTAGAGTCCTCTCGTCCTCTGGCTTGAGATGGCTGCCACCTATGGGTCAGATGATTGCATGGCAGCATTAAGCAATTGGTAATAAAATATATTTTTGTCCTAAAAAGTGTAACATTTTGGAAAAAAATTTCACGAACATTGTCACGCACAACGAGTCTGTGTGGAAAATGTCAGCTCGATTTGATCCCGGGAAGTGGGTTAAAAAACGACCGAAAGATTTGCACGGTCGTAAGCAAGCAAGCGAACTTAATATAAAGGATTTAAAAATAGTATGATTGCCAAGGAATGGAACGTGTCAGAGAGCACCTCTACTGAGGAGATGGAGCAATGAAATCAGTTCGTGTAGGCGTTCACATCGCGGGAAACGTGGAAGGTCGCAGTGGCTTGGGCATATCTTCATCCAGCAGTGGATTAATCATGGCTGATGATTTCACCATTACACATCCAAAACAATAGATATTGCCCAAAGTAATTTTCAAGTTTGGCAATAGTTTATTGAAATCGAGGACACAACACAAATCATTACCGTTTCAGCATTAGAAACAACCGAGTATTTTTTTCTTAATACTAAAAGCCTAAAGAAAAAGTAAGTTAAAATCGGCTCGACTTGACACCATGTTCAACTTCAGCTTGAGTTCAGACAACAAACTGAAAAACGAAATTCGTTCAATTAAACATGTTCTTTAGCAATTAAGAGTACATTTAAAACTGGCAAGAGTTATGACACCAATGTTTAGAGGGAAAAGGTTATTATAATTCTGTGACGCATGCCAACTGTATTACACAGAGTTTATTGCAGTTAGCAGCTTGGCATAGGTCTGATGGAGTGGCATAAGATGGCATTAAGATTATTTCAGAGAGCAGTATGACTTAGCCCATATGTCATTATTAAAAAAATCTCGAAAATATTACATTCAGCATACTGTGGTTGAATTTACATCAATCTAAAAAAAATGTATAAACATGATTTGAAGCGTTCGTGACTGCAGGAATCCATACTCTTTGGTTATTTCGGTAAAGTCACGTAGGTAGAAAAAATAATAGATCACGACGTTTCGATCGCAACACAAGCAATCGTCAACTGCTAAAGTAGGCTTCAGCAGTTTTTTCTTGCTGTGGATGTCCCACCTGATGACGATTGCTTGTGTTGCGATCGAAACGTCGTGATCTATTGTTCTTTCTACCTACGTGACTTTACCGAAAGAACCAAAGAGTACGTATAAACATACCAAAGGTTATTTTTTTTAAACTGCACTTTAACGGTTTACGGTTCAATAACCATCCCGTCATACTGCACACCATTGCATTCATATGTGAAGTAACATTAAACGTTCACAAAAAGTTTAAAAGCACTAATCACATGAATCATTTCTCCAAGTGGAAATACCTTGGAAGGCGGAATTTGCCTTCCATACGCCCATAATGGAGAGTTGGAGTGTTTGCGTAGTGGTGAGCGCAATGTGCTAATAACCCGGTGACCTAACTTCGATTCAGTCACGGCTCAATTCGGTGGCGAGTTACATCTGGAATGGTTAAGGCCACCCACCCCCTACCCCACCCCCTCATCCAGCACTGCTCAGGGTAGTGAAGTATGGTCGAATAACCCCCCCATAATCGACACGGCACGAGGTCTTCATCCAGCAGCGGACTGACAAACGTCTGTCAGTTATTACGTAAGGAAAACTCACATTTTGTGTGAGTTAATTTTCTGCACAAAGGGGCAACACTTTTTATTTTCTATTAAATTTCACAACACCGTGCATTCAGGAGGAAAAATATAAACATGCAAACATAAACTTATTAAAACTATACCCGCAGAAGTTGGTCAAGTGAGGAGGTGAGCGACACCTACTATGTGCAAGATGTGTAAACCGCCACCACATTTCAAAAATGTTTGACTCGTACTTTGTGGCTTAAGAAAATACCCTTATGATTACACAATTTGGTGATACTGCATTGACAGTGTTAGAAAAGGACAATTAACATAACATTCACACATTCGTCAATAACACTGTAGCATTAAAAAGCAAAGATCTAACGCGCAACGATTTGGCCATAAGAGTTGGAAGACTGCATTTGACATGGGGCGTCATAATTAGGGTGTTCTTTAACAGTTTCATTTATAAAAACGTGTAACTGTGTTAATTCCTTGATATGGAACACTTAATTAGCAAGGTTGTCCAGTGACACAGTGCAAACGAATCCAACAAAGTTCAAACAAAACTTAAAACTACTAAAGTTTGGTCGAAACTGAATAAGGTGTCTATAATTTATTTAAAAACGAAAATATCGATTTTGTAACACTGATACCAAACGAGATCAACAGAAAGTTTACAGTTACAAAATAAAGATTGAGTACAATAGAGACCCGCAAAACATCAGTATGAAATGTTTTTATACGCCTGAAAATTCAACCTGCTAACACAGTGAATAATAACTGTTAAAGACCCCTTGTCTACATTTTCTTGCTGGAAATGGTCAAGGAAAGCATCCCCCCCCCAGTCTGCAGAGGAAGCAGATACATCTCTTGCCACACGAAACACAGATGCATTCTACACCGAGGCTATGCCCGATAACCAAAACCACTTGAACTTTATACTGGGCCTTCCGATTCCACGAATCCTCGCTTTTCGGGGGTAGAAATTAAATATTTTTGCATGCAGTGCATTGTGGCAACTCTGGCACTGCATGTGGCCGCGTATGCAACGTTGTCGTAACTGAAATTTTGATCACATACAAAAACGATCCCGCATGTGTATCCAGATTCGATGGATCCGGTTTTTTTTTTTACGAATATGCCATCACACCCGACTTTACACACGCTGAGGATGAAGCCGAGCAGTGGCTATTGAATTCAAGGTGGGTCAACGCCAGAGCGATCATGGGTTACGCAATCAAATCGCGCAACGTACAACACCCGCTTCTGCAGAGTCGTTCACGTGTAAAGTAAATGCGCTTGCAAGCTGCCGAGTTGCACAAATGACCGCTCGGGTGTTCACCCGCCGTTACACTCGCATCGCCGGATGAACGGGCACTCTCAGAAGGGAACAAACGCATTAGTGCGGGACATTCGTGGGCATTGGCCCGGGGATTGCGCCCTCGAGTTTCACACGGGACAGGGTCCAAAGCCCCGTGGACAAGCGCACATCTCTCTAAGCGAGCGGGTATCTTCAACCACGCACTGGAATCGTCTTCATTTGCGCAACGCAAGCCGTGCAACGCTCATCGGCGGTGATGTTGAGGGACTCGGCATTGTTGATCCGAATATCCGTGATGTCATCAGTGATTTTTCTCTCAAGTACCCCGTCCCCAATCCGCAGATAATGGAACGAACTTTCTGCGGCTCTACACTTACCATACGAAATTGTGTTTTTTTAAAGTTTTGCTGGCTGGTTGGCTGGCTGGCGCGCAGGCAGGCAAGTGCGCGGAGATGACGCAACCTGCATCATCCACAGTGTTGCGGCGGGTACGTGAGTCGAGCTGACATTACGCCTCCCCCCTCCTCCACCCTGGCCGTGTACTCCAAACAAAATACGTGGGCAATGCTAAGTCTGCGAAGAAAACTACAAATAGACAGCCACTCCTCAATGCAGATGTAAAAAAAATAGGAACAATCGAAGCACGGATAGATCAGAGACCCTGTCCAAGTCCAATTGGTCATAGGGCAATCCTCCTTTCAGCGGTGTATCGGGGACAATTGTATGCCGGTCAGATGGGTTTAAAGAAGAGAATCATAATTTGTTCAATATGAGTCAAAGGTCATACGACTGTGGACCAGAGGAGTTCTACTAGAATGCTACTCTTACGGAGCATACAAGTTATATTTGTTTGGTACAGTGAACAGCCGATGAAGTCACCGAGTTGCAGAGAGGTCACCAGATTAGAGAGTCTGAGCAGAAGTCACCTTACACGTGTAAGTGAAAGGGCTGCGTACGATAAAAAATGCGCAAGCATCAGATCGGCTATTTACACAAGCACGGCCACTCCCGTACGGTCCATCTTAATAACCACCGGCCACGCACTTCTCCACGTTTGCAGTAAATGACGTGGCGCTAAACTAATGAAGTCCATTCATCGTGGAATCTGCTTTACTGATGCAACCCAGTACCCCAATGAACGGGTTCTGAAGGCTGTTAAATCTTCGGACGAGTTTTTTTTCTTCTTACAATACACCCCCGGCAGTAAAATTGGTGCCATGTAGCAAGATAATGACTTAAAGCGATTCAAATTTGTTTTATAATTCTCGGATTCTTGATACCCATCTGGCCATTATTGCCGAAACGCCCTAAGAGGAGAACTGACCAATGATTGCAGTGATGTGAATTATGGGTATATGACACTCAAATTAAACATCGTTTTTGTTAGCTCTTATTTTATCTGTCATTTAACGAGGTGCTCGACAAACATAAACTGATACAATGTGTATTGCACTTTGATAATATGAGCGAATGGAAAAAAAGTGTTCAACTGCACAGACATGAAATATTAAACCGCTTACAAAATCAATGTGCACGTAGATCATTGGGGCCTTGGAGCCACTGGTACAATGGGCAAGCAAGTAGTAGAACACGAGGTCGGCAAAGAAACCAATTCTACAAGTTCAGAGCTAAACCCAACCCCCTATCAGCAGAGGTAGACACGGTCTTCCTGCAGTGCATGTGTCCATTGGGTTTAATAAGTATCCATCACAGGCAGCAGCCTTAATAGGAGGCAGTCAAGGCAAACTAATAAGGGATTATACCTGGAAAAATTACATTTTAGACACAGGGATTCTCCCGTGATGTTAAGGTTGCTAGGTTGATCTCCTGGCATGGCAGTTGAACCGATTAAGCGTATTAAATCTTCCTCTACTGCTCACCTATCAGTATAAAAGAGCACACCCCAATCAGCTGATCGGCAGGTTACGTGTGTTGCAGAGTAACATGTGTGTAGCTACTCACACCTCTTCCAAGACGTCTGGCCAGCATGGAAGTGTAGGCTAAACACCCTCTTAGAGGGTATCTCTAGAGCTCCTTCTCGTGAAGGCAATTCTGCTCGCAGTGGAGTGTGCAAGATATTTATCGGCTGCACTTTTAAATGTTTACCTGTGAGCTTGCTTTGTAAAGAAAACTCTACTGCCAGTGTCAAGTAAAATAATGCAGCGTTCTTTAAGTCTATCAAGTCGCAAGGTGTGCGATGAGGGTTGTCGTTGTGACGTTTTGGTCAATGCCTTTATCCATCACTCCAATTTGCAGTAAATAACAACCCATGCAGAAGAATGCAGGGGAAGAACCCACTCAAAACTCCACACAAATCGGCATCATGCTTGCCATAGTGCATCGGATATGATACAAAAAAAAGAGTGCATTTTTTTTTGCATGCACACTATGAAAAAAAATGCATAATAATCACTGACATTTCTTTGTTTAAATTCAGTAGTTAGGCAAAGTGGTTGAATCTTCCAGACCGATGGACGGTGCCTTAACACCTTAATTTGGGATCGGCTCATATTCGGATTGATTCTGCAAAAGACAAGTGACACAGAGGTGGGGTGTAAGTTAATTAATTCACAGCTGATTTTCGTCATCTAAAAATCTGACACTGCATCTCCCCTCCCATGCAGTAGTAGCATCTTGAGGGTCTCTGGCAGGAGACACCCAGCAGCATCTGTCCCGGAGGCACAAGGTGAACTCAGCATTGGCCAGCAAGTGGGTATTCCTCTGCCAGTAGATGTGGGGGGGGGGGGGGGAGGCACTATTGCTATGTGGCTTCAAAATGAAGTACTTTCCTAGAAATGTCTTACATTCGGCAATTAGACAAATTTTTTTTTTCAGACGCTGTCTCCCTGACAGACCTGGTCTTCACCTGAGGACGGCTGCTTGCGTTGTGGCCGAAACGTCGTGAGAATTATTTTATTATGTTTTATTTTAATTATTTTATTACTTCCCTTCTACGTGACTTTACCGAAAGAACCAAGAAGATTTTGACAATGACTTCGGCATTCATGGGCTACTCTTTTACGATCTTTAGCATCCCAGGTGTAAAAAATCAAGTTCAACTTAATTTGTTTAATCAGGCGAAAACGCAAGAGACCAGGTTAATTCTCATTTGCAAGCATGAGTTGGGGATGCGTTACGAAAGATTAAGGAAGACATCTCTAAATATTCTACTCAGCGGATAGCACAATACGACAATTAAGAATGTTATCATACTCCGTCCTTTACCCTCCAACTGGACCGGCGAATTTCTTTCCGTCATCACGCCACTTTTATTACTGCCCGCTAACCCCCCCCCCAAACCCTGCCCCCGTTTTAACGCTTCGTGTCAAGGTAAGGGGTTGAGGTTAGACAGTGTGCAATATGTGATGATAAAGATCACGTCTGGGCCAAGTGAGAATTTGCACTCTTGAGCCGTGAGCTACCTGGCCCGTCCTGCTCCAAGCGCGGTACAGCAGGCCTGTGGCGACGAGCGCAAGCACGATGGCAAGGGCCAGGAGGACATAATGCAGGTTGCTCAGCAGGTGCACCTCCAGAATCTGGCTTCTCAGCTGCGCTGCAGAGTCGTCCTTAATTAGAGCGCTCTGCGTCGAGGTGGGGAGGGGTGCGTGGAAAAGGCACGCGGGGTCATTAAAGAGTAAAACGGCAAAAGGTCGGAGTGCCCACACTTTACCCCACCACGCACAGCAACCAGTAACGCAGGGATGCGGAACCTTTTTTCTGCCAAGGGCCATTTGGATATTTATAACATCATTCGCGGGCCATACAAAATTATCAACTTAAAAATTAGCCTGTTATATTTGGTAAAACATTTAATTAACTCACCCATATAATGTGATGGCTGGAACAGACCGAAACGATTTCGCGGGCCTTATACTGCCCGCAGGCCGGACGTTCTCCACCCATGCAGTAACGTAACCATTTAGAACTGCTTGGTGGTCAAACGAACACTTGTTTGAGGAACCAATGATTTCCGTTAATCCAACTTTACAAATTCAAAGTGGATTGAGTGTGCAGCGGCGCTCATCTCCCGTTTACAGGCGGTGGTGGAAATTCCACATTCCTATGGCAGGAGACAGTCTTTCCATTGCCCAACCAATGTTGACTTTCACGGAGTGGTACTCATGTTATTAACAACTGGAGCATGAAGCAACAAGTCGATCCCCAAACAAAAAATGTAACTCGCAACCTTTTGATTGCAATCCACGCGGCGCTCTATCAATGCGGTACCCAGACACACGTTTCTTTAACACAGATTGCATATTGCAACATTCGACCAGGGATATCTTACCTCATTTATGAAGACAACAGGGAACAGAAGGGTCCTCACATTACCAGTTTGCCTGCAGGAAAAAATTAAATGCAAATAAGGTCACAATACCAACAGCAGGACTGCAAAAATAATTCCCCTACATGCTTTTACTTTTGCATTCTCAATCGTCACGTTCACTCAGACATTCCAATTTGTCGCTCATTCCAGTGTCCACCCAAGCTCCCATACGAAAGCTGGTGGATGCCCCCCCAATTACACAAGTGATGAGAACCACAGCTGCTACCAATTGGTGAAGCGTACGTGCGTATGTGGGCAATTTAAACATTGTTCTACTGATCGTGCATTTCAACACAATGACACCAGATACATCAGCGGGCACAATTAGGGACCGAACTGAAAATGACGGGACGTGCCATTGCAAAATGTAAAGGCCAATTAACATGAGACTGCAATGAGGACGGGTCAACCTTGAAGCAGCAGCACTGCCAAACTGTCTGCAAGAGTCACAGCGTTGATTATAAGTCTTTTGCGAATTGACTTTCGGGAGGTTCTGGGTAAGACTCTAAACGTTACGTGGAAAATGTTCAGTCTTCCGTGGTGTGAATCAGCAGTCATGTTTCCCTCCCCCACAAAGGGGCCCCTTAATCGTACTTGGCCGAGAGAGAATCTGGTTTAAACTATTGAACTCGGAAAGCGGGGAATCGCCCGTGAACAGAGACACATGGAAATCGATTACTTATACGAGTCATCGTGGGTGAAAGTCAGTCGTGTACGTACAGAATGTTGGGAGCCCTTTGCACATGGACATTTATTTGGACTTTCTTCTCTGCCCTCAGAGGAAATCCTGTAACCTACAGAACAGAAAAGCGTGCAAATGTCAGTAGGGGGGGGGGGGGCGGAAACGAAATCACCAGTGAGACTGTAACCAATACCTCTTGTGCCACGTTAAACACAGGTCCAAAACAAACAAACTAACCCTTGTGGTCGATGCCAACACCAAGCAAACAACACCAAACTTTGAACACGTTGCTCAGAATTGTTAACCTCTTTTATGATGAGGCCGGGAGGGTTAAGCTGTATTCGTTGAGCGAATTTACCTGCCAGCTCTGCACAACCTGCAATTGCCATTTAAAACTGCCGACTTTGCACAAGTGCATCTTCTTGATATCGTTTACACACGGGCAGTGCAAATACCAGTTAGTGCAAACAGAGATAAATTCCCCAAAAAGGACGTCATTGTTAACTAAACTTCTTGTGGTCCCCTTGGTCATTTGGTCAAGGTATCTCCTTCCAGTGCCGTCTCGGCTTCTCTCTGGCCAGTGCTGCTCCATTGAACTGAGGTGGTTTCTATCCCGTCCAGCGTTTGATGTTTGACGTCCAAGCAGATCACGGTGTACCTCTTTCCCGAGTACCTTCGAGCGTCACCTCCATCACTCCCCTTCAGCAACTGGTCGCCATTCATCCCGGTGGTCGTGGGTCCGACATTATAATTTGAGCTCGTGGCACGCACAGTATTTGTTCACTCAAAGAGAGAATGACTCCGGAGGCGTGAGAGACCACCGGCAAGTGGGAAGGCAGCCAAGCAGGAAGGCAGCCAGCAACGCAAATACTGTATTGTGCAGTTTTAAATGCCAAGTGTATTTATGATTAATCTATGAGTCAGAGGCTATGTTAAGATGTTATATATATAAAAAAAAACTCTTGAATTTCTAAGCATTGATGGAATAAGTTTCTGCTGTTTGTCGCATTTTGTTATGTTATCGTCAAGATGCAGATATAAAAAGCCATAACAGCTTTTTAAAGGGGTGATAATAATGTGCAGCCATTTGTAAATCTATGTCCATACTTCACCACTCTGGACAATGTGGGTTTTTGAATAGTTTGTAAGAAGCAGAAATAATTGCACTTGGGTAGGTCCGGTTGCAGCCATCATTCGCCACTGAATGTTATCCGTGACGAGGAATCGGAACGCAGGTCGCTGGGTTCATAAGCCGGCGCCAACAATCGCTCAAGCTCTGCAGTCCGCCATATGTTAAAATGTTTTCAGTCAAATTTCGATTTAAAGCTTTCATAACTGCAGGGATTCATCTTCTTGGTTATTTCGGTAAAGTCACGTAGAAGGGAAATAATAACATAATAAAAATAAAACATAAAATAATTCTCACGACGTTTCGGCCACAACGCAAGCAGCCGTCCTCAGGTGAAGACCTGGTCTGTCGGGGAGACAGCGACGGCTGCTTGCGTTGTGGCCGAAACGTCGTGAGAATTATTTTATAATGTTTTATTTTTATTATGTTATTATTTCCCTTCTACGTGACTTTTCCGAAAGAACCAAGAAGATGTTTTCAGTCAGTTGATGAGTTTACATGTGGGAGGAAACCGGAGTGCCCGAAGAAAACCCACGCATGCGTGGGGGAAAATACCCCATCCTATATGGATGAAACCACACTTCAATAGGGATTGCCCATTGGTACGGCTCTTTTAGTACACACAATCGACAGGAAGTACAAGAATGGGATCGCATAATGCGCATGCACGATGCACATTAATTACAATAATATAAATAGCTCAAACGGCAATGGATGCCCATTGTCATTTATATGAATTCATTAATCCCCCCCCCCACCTTAGCTCAAGAAGGGCACACAAGTGTTGTCATCACATCTACCCCTCTATTTAAGGAATGAAACAGGAGGACTTCTCCACAAATCTGGCTGTTGCCTGATGAAGCTAGTTGTAATTACTGGCGAAACGTTGTACTCAGATTGCAAATGTTGTGGCTTGACTCTCCAAGACACCGGTGTGCTCTACTAGTAACAAATTGGCAGGTTCTGTTTACGTGACAAACCTTATTCATTGGCTGTGTCGGTGGTCGGGTGTTTAACGACACATTTATATATTTATGCGATCTAACCCAAAAAACCTGTATTATGGATGAATGAAATAGATGGGAGTCCATATTTTTTGCCGTACTGCATTCTCCTGGCAAACCAGGGCATGGCATCTGCTCGATGCCCACAGGATCAGCATGGTTGGTAATGTACAATGCGAAAGAAGATCAACAAACGTACATACAAGGGTGCTTCACAACATTTGTTCGATCCACCAAACATCAATTCACCAGTCCTGAATTTCAGGCATACACCATCACCACCCGAAACATTGCAGGTTCCTGTACTTTACCCGACTTGGAGCCCTGTATTTATTGTGTATTCCAGATATTTATCGAGCATACAGTATTGCCTTTTAAGCTGGAGTCATGGTGCAGTGGATGTGCACTGCACTATGAACCCAGCGACCTGCGTTCCGATTCCTCGTCACAGATATCATCGGTGGCGACTGATGGCTGCAACAAACCTAAGTGCAGTTACTATCGCTTTGTACAAACTATTGAAAAACCCACATTGTACAGCGTGGTGAAGTATGGACATAGGTTTACCAACGGCTGCAAATTATTATCACCCCCTTTTAAAAATCTGTGATGGCTTTTAAAAAAATATCTGCATCTTGATGATAACATAAAAAATGTGACGAACATCAGAAAATGATTCCATTAATGTTTAGATATTCAGGAGTTTTTTTCTTCCCCCCATAACATCTTAGCACATCCTCGGACTCGAAGAGTAACCATAAATACACTTGGGACTCAAAATTACACACCACAGTATTTGCTTTGCTGAAGTCATAAGCAGTAAACAACACTTGACGATAAACTTCCTTATTGTGTGTCATCAGAGGATTATGAGGGATCGATCAGCAGTTACTTAGGAACAATAAATGACTGTGACCCAAGTACACTGGGGAGACTGTGATTCACCGCCTGTAACAACACTCACGGACTGCACCTGTTGCCAATAATCACCCCACAGTTCCAGAGAACAACTATCTTCTCCTGAATTCACGTTTGGCTCCAAACACAAACGCATATGAATCGAGTTAATATTTCACGAAAAGTGTGCAGTGCAACGTCACATATCCACCCTTATGAGGAAGCCAGCGGAGCTATGCACTTTTTAATCCAAATCGAAAACTCATTTCTTTAGAACTACTTTTTGTGTTCTCTTTGGTGTCCTTACCATGTGCACCTCCGATTAGCACGGTTGGCTACGTACGGCGAGAAAGAAGCTCAACATACATACACATACTAATTGACAGCCCCGAATCCAGTGCAGTCATTTCCTATAGATGTTCACTTTTCCGACCGGGTCACACATCCGCCCACAACTCAGTCCTCCAGCGAGTCGGATGTCGTCGCTTGGACTCTACACATCGAGCACCATTGGCTAATAGATCCCACAAACTAAAGTAGATTCCAGTGCGAGAAAGTTCCCCTAGGAAAATAATTGTGAACCCATCAATGTGGCACAGAATCCATTTACATGACCCCCGCAGTCACACGAGGATGCTACTACATTATGAGACATCTCCTTTACCAGTGGCAAAATATAGTAGTAGGTTTTACTCTTTCAACTGGAACAAAAAACTGACACCTTTATACAAGGCATCATGTTTGCAATAACCACAACACAAGCAGTCAAAATGCAAACAAAAAGAAACAACTCTGATGATGGTAATGATATGCACTGTCCTTGAAGTTGATTGGCCCACACCCGAAACAGCTTTTCTTAGAGCCTAGTCTCCATTGGTGTTGGACCAGATGACGCCAAAAGGCGTACAACTCAAAGACAATGCACTATCAGAGTATTGAGAGCTCGGGGTAAGCATTTACACTATGAGATATCTCCTTACCAGTGGAAAAATATAGTAGTAGGATTTTACCCTTTCAACTGGAACAAAAACTGACACCTTTATACGAGGCATCATGTTTGCAATAACCACAACACAAGCAGTCAAAATGCAAAGTTAATATAAAGGTGTCAGTTTTTGTTCCAGTTGAAAGGGTAAAAACCTACTACTATGCTACTACATATCACAATGTTGAACCAAGGACGAATTTTAGATTCATTGAATCACGAGGGTGCGTGAGGTGGGGGGGGATTGAATAATTACAGGCATATTAATACTAATCATACACAGGATATTGTAGTGCATTAAATTCAACCAGGCTCTGTCACGGATATGGCAATGGGAGGCACGTATCCCAGCAGTGGTTAGCCAATGGTCGACGATGATGAATTTTCTACTGTATATGTATATGCAACGGTGATATTTTGCAACAATTACATAAAATGACAGTTACACCATTCACAAACACTCCCGATGAGTATTGGCGGTTAATCGGTTCTGAGTGGACATGCGAGGGTCGGGCCTGCGAAGTGCCGCATCGTGATTTTAATCAAATGGTCTCAAAGGCAGCTGCATTTTGTAAACGAAAGTCCTCTTCAAACATTGTCATTCATCCTTAAAGGTTTTACGGCCGGGGATCAAGGACAATGGTCTAAAAAATAGGAGTCCTCTTACGTGGAATTCTCTTTGCGTAACTATGCTAATGTCCATCAACCACTTGTGCCGCTAAAATGGTTTGCGGTGTAAGCACAATTATAGTTTCTGGGCAGGGCTGGGGGTCCAGGAGTGGGCCCTGCACCACCACCAAATGTCCCTTTGGTACCACCCAAGTTAACTCTTCTCAGCGGTACATCACTGTTACGGTGAGCCCCACTCCCCAACACTATACCTCCGCTGCCCCCCCTCCTAGTCCAAGAGGAGCTGGAGCCGGGCCTGGTTTTAGGTGTCAAGGAGGAAGCAAGACAAACACTAAACAACAGGACAAAAAAACACACCTAGGCAGATTTTTGTCGACCTCAGCATCAGATACCCGAGCCTTCGTGACCTTACAATCGTGAGACATACAACGTATTCCGTAAAAGGTTAAAACTCCACTCAAGTTCACACAGGCAGAGGGCCATGCCTCAAATAATACGAATGATTACGTAATAGAGCACAACAAGCAATGTATCTTAAAACTGTTGTTTTTTTACTCCATTATCTTGTTTGTGAGGCATTATCTAGGGCAATTCGTTTGAACGAGCAAACGATCTTCAGGCAAGTGACATTAAACGCACAAATATTGCTGCATTTATTTAGGCAATTGCCGCATTGTCATCCGATTCACTTTAATGACATGGAAGTAAAAAAAACCTATGGATTGCCCCACGTTATCCCAGACATGTCGACCTTCTGCGTGACTCTGCTTATGTAATCCATGCACATTTAATTGAATTCATGGCTGCAAAAGAGGCCGATCAAAGTTGAGAGGGTGGTGTTCATTGAGAGTCTGCCAATATATTTATATCTATACCAGACCAGATATACCGAGTCTGTCTATATTTTTTGGAAAGGCCACCAAAATATATATTACTGGATTATAATAATCACGTATCGTGCACAGCGGTTGCATTTTTTTTAAAGCACGGTTTCTAAGCACAGGCCCAAAGGTCCAAGATGCCAGGAGGGCCAGCAACAAACGCCACTCATGAAGGTGTACTATATTATGGAGTAATCCATTTTTCGAATTAAGAAATGTTATAAAAACGTGAGAAAATAAACAATGGGAAGGCATTCCAAAGTCCAGAGCCTATACGGTTAATTGGCAATGTGACTCAGGTAATATTTTAAGAAAATGGTGCTGGTCGCATTTACAGAACTGGCAGCTCCCTCTTGTGAATTTAATTTTGCCCTCACGAATCCTCCCATCTCAGCGGCGACCAAAGCAACGCAAGAAATCCTCCGTCTCGGCGTCGCGCAGGCGACAAGCAGCCGCCCGCCGACCTGGGCAGAGACGGCCGGCTGCTTAGGAAGGCCATGCGGGGAAGTGTACTCTGCACCACCCCCGGTGAAAAGAGCGGTCGCCACGTGCACACCCGGGCCTCGCGTGTGAACGTGCGCCGCGTGTCAGACGCCGCCCCACTGACACGTCAGATAGGCACTGCCCACCCCCTAAATGGCAAAACACCGTGGGCCAGAGTCCCTCGGACTAATCTCACGGTTGGAATCGACACGCTGAGTGCGAGTGTGGCTGGCTACGGCTATTTATCGTTTACGCAGACAATCGACACTTTTTCAATAACAAAGGCAAAGGATTAAATCTGAAAACGGACGCTTGTGTTGCGACCGAAACATCGTGTTTTCTTTTAGTATTTTTCTATCTACGTGGCTTTACCGAAGGAACCAGAAAGTATGGATTCCTGCAGTCACGAAAGCTTCTAATCAAGATTGATTCAATATTACTTTTGTCCTGCACAAAAGAGGGGAGAAAGTGATAATAAGCTACCCAAGGATCAAAGAATATTTGGAATAGTTTGGGATATTTTGAGTATTTGGCGGCCATCAATTTCCACGTGACAAGCAACTTCGTTGAGCTTTCATTTGTGGCCAGGTCGCTGCTGAAAAAGAGCTATGTAGCTCAGTGGGCATCACCTGGTAAAATAAAAAATGGTTTAGTTTGATATATGTTAACAATGGTGATCTTCAAAGCAAATATTCATGGTCTGTCAAGGGTATGCATGTCTCAGGAACCGATATTTTTGCTTTGTCACGATGTATCGACATTAGGTACGACCTCCCCATACTCTTCTGACATTGTATTCATTATAGCCACGTAAATTACCAAATAACTATGAATATACAAGATCAGGGGAGGGGTGATGGGGGACCCACACACACTCAGACCAACGGACATAAATACTGTACAGCACAGGACCCGGAAACATGCAATTGTTGGTCTTTTCAATAACACACACGTACATTATACACGATAATACATTTACAGTCATACAAATACAAAGATCCTCCTTATAGGCTTTCAACGACTATAGGGGCAATTGCTGTAAGCAAACACCAACACAGCGAGGGGGTTAGTGGCCAGCACCACGCCCGACGTCTCCCCAGTGGCGATGTTTGCACACCTGCACCAGGTACTCATTTGAGGCCAAGTCGACCTAGAAGAGGCCCAGGACTGGTTCATATAATTGTCACGGGTGTTGGCCACAAGCGAGAATTGAACTCGGGCCCCCTGGTTCACAGTACAACGCGCTAACCATTGTGCCACCACTCCCCACATGTAGATACACGTATACAGTAACAGATTGCTGCTGCTGCTGTTTTTACATCCATCTTAATTAGTTCAGCAGCTAGTTGGACTTTTCAACTCACCAGACAAGGGTTCCCCTATTTTTTATCACACAAGTAAACGGCCTGTCCTAATGGCATGGTTACCTAACACTCAGCTGACACTCACCTGACCGTTGCAACGCATTCACCAGTCACCTGACACCGCTCGCAGTCATCACGTCACGTTTCCCTCAACACTCAAGCGTTTGGACAACATAGCGGAATGCCCATTGAGATTCAACGTCTAAATGTTAAGAGCAGGTAGGCAGCGCATTGGCAAATTATACAAAATTATCAGGTCAAAGGTAACATTTTTTTTATATCTGATGCACAGACACTACAAAGCACAAGCTTTCAAATGATTCCTCAGGTCATTTCAAGTTCGTAGCACGGCCAAGGACGGATTCTCCAGACAAACGCGCAAGCAGGCTCCCCCCTTATTAATACAGCTAACGCAACGTAACTAATTGTCGCCCTCAAATACGATTCAAGTGTGTTCACACAGAGATTTTGTGGGCTGCGTCATGCTTACGGGCTCAATGTCGAGGAAGGTTTCGTGCTTGGCCTTGTCCGGATGCATCCCTTCGATGGCATCCACGTACGCGGGGTCCGCCTCGTAAAAATGCGGCGACGACAGGAAGATGGGAGCCCCTGTGCCGCAAAACGACAGGGTAAGGCCCACTGAGCTAGAAAGTTATTTTACAGAAGCGAGCTGGCCACGAATGATCGCGTGGAAATTTATTTCAGCCAAACACCCCAAACGCATGTTGATTCTAAATGTGGAGGACCTGGAGAAAACTCCACCCCCCACCACGGGGAGAACATGCAAACTACAAATATATAGGCGTCAGGGTTGGGATCGAATCCACGACCTCCTATATACCAGGCGAAATAGTTAACATCTCGCCACCGCAGCGCCCTGAAAATAGTTTTAAGAAATCCTTCATTTCAAGATTAAACCAAATCTGAACTTGCTACCTCATTTTACTTGCCAAGTTGGGCGCATACCTTAGTAACGGCGATCTACAGATGACGCGTGGTGGGCTAAATAAGTGTGTGCTCCCACCGCCTGCAAGATATCTATACAGTGTGGACGAGAGTTGGTGAAACAGATTCAAGAGGGTCTCTCTCTGAGCTCCCTCTTCAGCCTGCAGTGGTGTGAGCAAGCAAATGGACGGCTGGCACCTGTACCTATTACCACAGTATTTCACGTGTAAATTGTATTTTCGCGTGTAAGGGTGGAATGTTAATGCAGATTCATGAATACATTTCGAGTCGCCAGTAGGGATCAATATTTTTCAATCCAAATAATATTGCATTGGGTTCAGATATCCCCTGCAGCCACTCGAGGCACCACCATTCACCATAATGTTTCATAAAAAAGTTTGATTCTTAAATCGATACCCGACCCTGAGTAGAACAGAGATAATTTATCAACTCTGGGGAGGATGGGGTGAGGCAGGAGTGAAAAGTCCAACGTCTATGACATATATATCTGGAATCTGTTATTTGCATATTTATTTTAATCTACTTAAAAACTACGATTTTGTTTCATGTCTGCATTTTCTCCTTTGAGTAACATTGACTGATGTGCAATTAAATATTTTCACTTCGGTCTGCCTAAAAACCTGCCATTAATGTATATGTGTTGAATTTCTTTCACACGATACATAGGCAACCGTACTAATCAGTCTCAATTGCGTCTTAACTGGTTATAAATTAAGTGAACCGATATAATTTTAAATCCTATGCATTACAGCATAATCAAGGTGATGCTTCGATTTTTTTTTTGCTCAGAATTGGTTATGAAAGTCATTAGTTCGCTTTTACTTTGCAAGCGAGTTCTTCGTATAATCATTAATAAGGTGTTCGATTTCGAAACAAATATCAGCTACATGCGACAGCAATAAGAAACAAGGAAGAAAAGGAACGTGTACACATGGCTGCTGGAATGCTTCCCAACTTGCGTTTGTCTTCGGGGAGTACTTACTGAGCGACAATAGGATTATGTTCTATGCCGCACAACGGCCAAATCGATCCTTTGATCGAAGGGCAACGGTTTGACCAATCTGGCCGGTTTGCCATTGGGCAAGGCCTGAATAGCAACAAGATTTCGTTGTAAACTAATATTTGTATTGGAAGATCTTTAGGGGAATTACAACAACCCCCTGCTACAGACAGACAAAACCAGAGAGAGCTAATGCATTGACACCAGCAACCTTATTTGGAAAGCATAGAAAGATCAACAAGATTACATTTCGATTTAAAGCTTTCGTGACTGCAGGGATTCATATTCTTGGATCTTTCGGTAAAGTCACGTAGAAGGGAAATAATAAAATAATAAAAATAAAACATTTTTATTATAAAACAAAACATAATTATTATTTTATTATTTCCCTTCTTCGTGACTTTACCGAAAGATCCAAGAATATGAAGATTACATTTAATTGTGGATTCTCTAAATTACAACTGAAAGATATTTTCGACTTCCAATATCATCGATCCACTGTGTGGGCACCCATTGCAGAAATGCACGTCAATTTTTTTTGTCAGAGCACCTTGTTCGTCAGCCAGCGACGTAACAAATTCCCCCCAGATGTCTCTCAAAGCCCTCGCACGCAGGCTGCCCCTTATTAAAACATGCTAAAAGCAACAGCGTGCTGTGCTCATTGCATCGATACTCTGAACTTCTCGTCCAAAGAGACTCATTAAAAGAACATTAACAACAACTATCGATGGCTGGACAATGGATTTCCTTAAAATCAGGCAAGTGAGATGAACAACCCGCCACCTTCACTTGAGCCAGGGGGCAGTCAAGACAAACGCAGCCGGGTAGAAGTAAAGTGTCTGGCGTCCCCTACTGGACGCACTCAGTATTAGTCAAACGGCTACGGTGTAGGTTTTTCCCCTTTTTTTCCGGCCACAAAACAGGTGTTAAGATGTTAAAACACCAAACTGAAACCTTTTACAAGGAATCATGTCTGCATTAACGACAATGCTTGTGGTCAGAATCCAAACAAACAAACATACTCTGATAATATGTGCATTGTCCTTGAAACTGATTGGTCCACACCAGCTAATGTAGACATGATTCCTTGCAAAAGGTTTCAATTTGGCGTTTTAACATCTTAACACCTGTTTTGTTGCCAGAACAAAAAGGGGAAAAACCTATTATCACATTTTGGTACTGGCAAAGGAGATCCCATGATGGGTACAGTGTAGTTGTGTTGAGCGTGTGCGAACCCAGGGCTGGTGCGATAAGGCAATATATATCGTACGATATAGTCGTTCCTCCGTTTTGCCAAGCGTCGTGATGTTTCACGATTATCGTTGCTCATTTTATTTCTATAAACATTTTATTTATACTGATCAATTGTATCTCAATTTCTCTAACAACAATGAATATATTCATATTGGAAGCAGAGCAAAGTAGAAAAACAATCAAAAGAAAAATGCCCAATACAAATACAACTTAGCTGTGGGAAAATAACATCGCGATGATCGCCCCATCACAGAAACTAATGCGGGCATCACCAAAAATGATACGGCGGCAACCCGAGTGGCATCGCAGGTGGTCGACGGGCAACAGCTGACCTTGCTTGCAGACGCTGATGTTCAGGACACCCGAGCCGGGGCAGTGGGAGGGCGTCGTGCAGAAGCCGAGGTTGGCGGTAGAGTTGGCGAAGACGCTGGCCGGAGTGGTGAACCTGTAGGTGTTCAGCGCCTTGACGGGCAGCTCCTTCTCGAAGGAAACGTAAACGGACCTGCAGGGGAAATGCACATCGAGCACGAGTCGCATGAAATGTAAAAATTAACCCGTAAAAACAAAGTTTTTCACTATAAATCCTTTATATGCGTGGCGGCTAGAGTCCTCTCGTCCTCTGGCTTGAGATGGCTGCCACCTATGGGTCAGATGATTGTCTGCCAGTATTAAACAATTGGTAATTTAATATTTAATTTGTTTTCCCTAAACAGTGTAAAATTTTGGAAAAAATTTTCACGAACATTAATTGTCTCGCACAACGAGTCTGTGTGCAAAATGTCAGCTCGATTGGATCACAGGAAGTGGGTTAAAAAACGACTGAAAGATTTGCACGGTCGTAAGCAAGCAAGCAAGCACGCAAGCAAGCAAGCAAGCGAACTTAATATAAAGGATTTAAAAATATGAGTGTCAATCACGTTAATGTAGAATATTTGTGTTGTTTGTCGAGAGATTGATGAAAGAAAAAACAAGTCCGGATTAGACACTGACAGAAGGCAAATGCAGCAGAAGAGATGATCAGATGACATCACAGAGCTTAGAGGCCACTACGAGACAGGAACATGGAAGGCATGGAAGAAAATGGGGGAGGTCTTTATCCACAATGGGACGTTGCAGAATAACATCAACATCCACAACAACATGTCTGCTGACTCAAGTATGTCACAATCAGAATCTTCAATTAGACTTGCAAGAATCCGATGACCTATTAAGCTCTTTTTCACAGATGCCCAGTATTTTCAAAGATATCAAGTATGTTAGTTCTTATTCAGAACTTTTGGAACACCCATTGCTGGAAAGCAGAAATAACCTGGCTGAGAAGGATCCTGGCAGTATCGATATTACAGAAAGAAATGAGACCCAAGGAAAAAGCTGGGCCAGCAACAGACTTTAGTGCACCACGCTGATCAATACCGGTCAAGTATAGATGTATGTTGAACTTATGTCGCACCGTACACACCCAACAGTGCTAATTGGAGGTGCGGCTAATCGTAGGTCAGTGCGATTGAAGGGCGGAAGGTGAACCGTGGGAGCAGAAACAAGTAAAGTACAATGAAGGGTTTAGCTTCAGCGCCCTCTGCTGCCCACCACAAAGCCCTGAAGCCTTTAATGACCCGATGGGCATGAAGCTCACCCACTCAAGCACTGTCCGGGCCTGCTTAGCTTCTGAGAACTGACAGGCACATTCTAGGCGATTTGGTCACAGACACAAGCAATTCAAGTTCTATATTGTTCGTGTTTAGAAAACTGTAAAAAAATTTATTTATAGAACCCGATACGTGGCGATGATGATGGCCACAATCATTATCATTATTGTGAAGATAATCATGATAATTCTTATGATTATCTCTTTGCAATCTTTTGGAAACAAACGTGCACCCATGTGAGCAATCTTACCTACAGAGGTCGGAGGAGAAGAGGTAGAGGATTTCATTTTTGTTGATCAGGGGATGGAAAGTGGATCCGTCCGTGCCGTTAATCTTGTTACACGAGTCGGTGGTCCACCAGTTCAGCGAGCTGTGAGGGAGAGAGCAGCGATAAAAAAATGTAGGTAAAAAAAACACGTTTTTTTAATGCGAAATTTTTTAAATTTGCACTCAAAATTAGAAAATTTGACCCAAGATTTAATGACATTTTATTTACTGAATAAGAGTGGGTGGTTTCCTTTCGATGTAATTTTTTTTATGCAAGCCACCCACTTGTATTTAGCACATCACATTTGATTAATTCTGGGGTCAAAATAACGTATTTTCTATTTTTGAGCACAAATAAAAGTGTGTGCATTTAAAAACTTGCTTTTTACCAATTTTTTTATGCAAATTTTATCTTGTAAAAGACGTTTCAGCCATAACACACGCAGCCGTCCTGAGGTGAGGAAACAGAGCTGTCGGGAAAGACAGCGTCCCAATGAACACCGCCAAGCTTGGCAGCGTATATTTAAGCTAGGTCGGGGGAGGAGAGCGCCTTGACAAAGGAGTTTACATATCAACAGCGGAATTAAGCATATTGATGGAAAATGCAGATATGGGATTAGTCACTCCTTGTGGAATGTGTAGGTGGTGGGGGGGGTCTCAAAGTCATATTATGCTAGTGTACTATGTAGGATTAGCAGTGATAAAGGGAGGAAGTAGGATTAGCAGTAATAAAGGGAGGGACATTTTAATCGTAAGGAGCTGCAGCAGCCAAACCACCGCGTATCAAGCTCGTGCATTATGTGGGCAACAAAAAGGAGGGGTTTACGTGAACCAATTACATACAATGTACATGAACTGAAAACAATCGATTCTTACACGCACGATTTGATTTATCGCGAGCATAAATATAAACCTTAATGCATAAATCAATAAAATGACGAAGATTTTTTTTCAGGGGCGTCCTGCATTGGCAAGTTTGGATATTTCCCTCAATGAGTGTTTTTGTTTGTGCGAGGCAACTGGAGTAGCTGAGTAAAGGCCACGCACACACGGGGGTGACATTCAAAGCTCTACACACACACAGATTTAAGAATCTATAGCCGTGCTGCTATTTTCTGACTGCCTCGCAAGCCCAAGCTTACAACACCTTGGGGTATTCGCAGTCTTCCATCCAAGTGCTCAACGGGCTCAAACCTGCTTGGTGTCTGCGACCCGATTGAGATCGGGTGCGTTCAGAGTGATTTGGGAGGCTTACCTTTCCCCTTTCCACAGAGCGATCTTTGAAAAATCTGTCGACTTATTCTGTCCCGTGTGAAAGAGGTAAACACCATCAGCAGAGCCATTCATCTAAAAGGAGAGAACCACTTTAGCCCAGCTACACCATGGTAGTAAATAAATAAAAGGTCATGAATCATCGAGTTTATGACGGGTCACCATAATTTTTAAAAGTTTTTTTAAAATTATTTGTTTTAAGTTTTAGACTGCTTGTACAAAGTAAAATAGCATTGCATATTGAAAATAATACTAATAAAAGTTCACTAAATTAAATATGTAGGTACGTTAAAAAAAATTCGCAGCGTACGTAGCCAACCATGCCAATTGGAAGTGCAGAATATTGCCACGGTATAACGGTTAGAGTACACTGGACTTACCATCCAGAGATCACCATTTCTACCTCCTGGCCTCTGTCAACTCGGCATAGTAAATGGGTACACAACAGTGAATCGGCGGGTCACGTGCGATGAGGAATCGTATTGGTACTCCCACATGTTCCAAGACATCTGGCCAGCATGGAAGAGTAGGCCAACATATGGTAGGGGTACCCTCTAGAGCTCGTGGCAAGTATAGGCCCTTCCACTAGCAGTGGCATGAGCAAGTAATTGCAGGGCTGCACCTTTGCCTTATTTTACCTATTATATTAACCCTTTCCCGTTCCGAGACGTTTGCAAGTTCCAGAGTGGGTCCCGTTCACTGCCGATTCTCCGGAACGCGCAAGCGGTTAGTGTTCATTTTATTCAAAGGCATAGCAGCGCCGCTGTCTTTAAAGACATTGTACTCACCGCAGAGGATCTGTCGCGACACGACGGCACTCTACGATAGCTGGCGCCAAAACAGGGCCACACGCCCTCCCGCATGGTCTTTTTACCTCCGATTCCATTCCGATGACGTACGACGTACAACATCGGAACGAAAACTGATGATGTACACGTACGTCATCAAAACGGAACGGAACGGGAAAGGGTTGGAATGCACCCTCTCGCTCAGTGTAAGCGCATGGCTTACCCCATAGAAAAGCCCGAAGTTTGGGTTGACAGTGGGCACAAACTTGTGGATCTGGGCAAGGATGGGGTCTTCGTATCCCCAGAGCAGCTCGTGGATGGTGCGAGACTGAAACAACGTCTCCTTGTCCATCATGGCCACCATGCTGAGGATTACGTCCAGCCACTTCTGTGGTAGGGAGCTGTGCCTGACCATCTCCACCAAAGTCTGCAAGGGAACCACGCCACACGCACACAGAAACGACTGCTGCCGTCACGAGTGCTTTGAGCAAAGAGCTATTAAGGCTGGAATGCAGCACAATGGGGAAGATAATGTGGCCAGTACCCCACGCCTGACTGCCTTCGTCTCCCCAGTGCTGATGTTGACTCACTGCATCACGTGCTCATTTTGATGCAGAGTTAACCTTGGGGAGGAGGCCAGAAACTGGTTGCGATAGCACTCATCAATGATGTTAGCGTGGATGCTAATCAAAATACTTGGAAGCATTCTTGTCCATCACGAGATTGTCACTGCTGCCCTACAGTGGTTGTATAATAGCATAATCCATTCTTAGGAAGGTCACAGTACAGGGACTCCTCTACTTACGAACGAGTTAGGTTCCAGAGTTCTGTTTAACACGTAGGCTTTCGCAACCAATAATATACATAACAACGATTTTTGGGTTAGATCGCACAAGTATAAATGCGTCGTAACCCTCCACCATCCGACACAGCCAGTAAGGTTTGTGACATAAACAATGCGCCAATTAGTTACTCCGGTGTGTTGGAGAGTACTCAAATAGTAAATGTTGTGGATTTACTCTCCAACACACCGGTGGGCTAAAGTAGTGACTAATTGGTGCGTTGTTTACGTGACAACCCTTACTAGCTGTGTCGGGTGGTGGAGGGTTTGGACACATTTATACTTACAGAATCTAACCCAAAAACCTTTATTCCAGAGGTCCGTTTATAAGTCAATTTGTTCATAAGTCCAACTTAACTCCTGTCGATTCCAAACATAGTGTATGGCATGTACACTAAACACGGGAAAGTGCTTTAAAAGTTGTACAATCTCCTGTAAATGTAGATGCCAATGATTCTTCATGTTCTGCAGATGTAGACGCCACCACCGCCATCTACTGCGTGGCGATTGAATGTATGACTGTCAGTCTGAACAGGCAACTGGACATCCGTACAGGTGAGTTTGAAACTCTGAAAGTTCGTAAGTCGAATGTTCGTAAGTAGAGTAGTCTCTGTAGTTCTGATCAAGTTCAAATGTCATACGGTGGTACAGATCATCGTCAATACCATACACTCCCAGGTTCCGTCCGGTGAGAATGAACCTAAACTCGACTCTGTATAAAGAAGAAAGTTCCTCAAGTGTATGAAGAAACTTACTCAAGTGCTGGGCCTGACAATTAAACATCATTATGAATATAGAAAACAATGACAGCAGTATTTCAATGCAGAAATAAAATATGAACACACTCAGCTTTGTTAAATATGCGGCATTATTTATATCACTGGTATCACGAGTCACATTTCGACCAGATAAATGCTGTTTATTTAATAATATATTTATTTTCTACAATATAGACAGAATCAATGGTTTACACATCCAAAAACCTATCACAGATAAACAACAATAATAATACTTTATATATTTTTTCCAACAAAGAAATTAGAGAAAAGAGATATGATGAGAAAGAGTAAATGGGTTAAATGTGACAAATTCCATTCATAGCTGGTGTCTAATCAGGACTTTGTACATCAAACACGTAAATGGATGAGAAACCCAATTATCTGTACATAGCGCATACATCATAGCACACCTATGTCGGTGAGCTGTTATGAAAAACAATTATGCTTTGGAAGCAATAGGCCTCTCAGCTTATATGTAAAAGCATATACAAGCAGAACTCTGTCTGCTCAAAAATGAATAAAAAATGTTAAAATTATTTTTCTCCTACTTCTCAATAGTAACTGAGTGCACACTTATTTTAATCGCATTAAAGGATTAAGATAAACTTCATAAGACAAGTCTGGGGAACCAGTTATATAAATGATGGCATAATACATGCGTGTTGAAACTTTGCCGAGGCGAAAATTCGAGAATTTGTCTTACCATGAGTGGAACGTTGACAGTGGTGATTTTGTCTGTCATTGGGTCTCCCACAGACTGTTCAGGAACCAGCACATAAGACTTTGGCAAAGTGGCTGAAACTGTGTGATTTTCGTAGAACACAATCTCTTGCCTGATCCGCATCTCCCTAATCACACACACACCACACACACAAAAACAAACTGACATTCGTGAGTGTCCTTCGCATAAAAAAAAGTGGTCGGATATGTTTTGCTTGTTATTATTCTAAACACGTAGTATTATAATTTTATGTATCCGCAAGACGAACATTTGTATGTACGAGTCGGTCAGAAATCAGCGATTGGCTTGCTCGTCGTATTCAATAAAGCTTCATGACAGTGAGCAGTGACAATGACATTTCACAGGTATTTAAATTTGCCCGCAATATCCCTTCAATGTGGAGGTGTTGCAGGGTGTGTAAGGTAGGATGAACAGGTCGGTTAAATTTGGTGCCGAAAAGTGGCTGTGCTTCGACCAAGCATGACATTGCTACTCCATGGCTGTCGAAGTTTCATGACACAGGAAATCACGGTCTCTCTCAGTCGGCCGTCCCCAGACGGCTCGCATTAACGCACATACACACGCTGAAGCACAATTGATCACACCTCGCTGACCCAAACAAATTCGGAGTTAACGATACAATGATTTCGATTTAAAGCTTTCGTGACTGCAGGGATTCATCTTCTTGGTTCTTTCGGTAAAGTCACGTAGAAGGGAAATAATAAAATAATAAAAATAAAACATAATAAAATACAATTCTCACGACGTTTCGGCCACAACGCAAGCAGCCGTCCTCAGGTGAAGAACAGGTCTGTCGGAAAGACAGCCTCTGAATGAGAGGCTGTCTTTACGACAGACCTGTTCAAGAAGATACAATGATTATCGACGATACGTCACGTGCCACTGACCGGTAGGTGTAGGGTCCCACGCTCTTGCACGAGTGGCTTCTCCCCAGCGAGCACCTCCTTGGGATTCACCAAGTGGAATAAGGTGAAGCTCAAGTAGATGTCTGCTGGGGGGTTCTTCCAGTTTTCGTAAACTGTCGAGTTCAGCTTCAGAACCACTTGCTGCAAGTTAACGGTTTGCACGCGGCACACAACGAGCATGTTCACTTCTGTAAACTTTAAAATAGACACGTTGATATGGTTGTCATAAACAAATAAAGGCGGTCTACGTTTTACAACGGTCCGATAAATGACGGTCCACATTTTATGACCGATTTTAAGACGCAGAAACTTGATTTATGACGCATCTTCTGACATGACTCCGAACACATTTGAACGGAGTCAATCTAGTGTCCAATGTGACTTGGCGTGGAGTTATTATTCTCAAGTGTAACAGTGGATTTTTACCTTTTAAACCCTGTTAAATATGGTCGATAAAAGGAAAAACACACCAACAAGTGATGTTTCTGTTTCCACCGTTTATGGGAAAACATGGTCCGGACCGCCTGTACTGTACGTGGCTCATGCCCCACGCAGCGCCCATTACGACGATAAAGAGTGGGGTAAAGGTGCCATCGTGCCACTCCCTGTCCACGCCACCGCTGGCAGAGGGGAAGCACTACAGAGTACCTCTAGAGCAGGGGTCAGCAACCAAAACAACAAGAGCCTTTATAGTCAAATTCGGTATAAAAAAAACCCTCAATATTCCAAGACCTCATCGGGAAGCCCCTGGAACCCGCTAGTGGGTTCGAGAAGGGAGGCGCGGCCAGATCGGAGCCAGGCCGTGCCGACTAGAATAAAAGCAGCGGAGAGCGGAGCGAGGGCTCCGGGCTGCTGGTTCTGGGAGTGGACTCGTCTCGCCATCGCTGTCATCTTCGCTGTCTTCGTCGCTGCCGCCTTCACGCGATAGTTGTTCGGCCGGACAGTTGTTGGTTGTCTCGGTCAATGCCGTCGGTGCAACGCGGTTAGGGTTGTGTCTAAGCCGGGCTGTACGGCAACGGCAGCGTGGAGGAGGCGATCCTGGGTGTGAACGGCCGAAAGGTGTCACAATAAAAGGTGCCTCCTGCAACTACCTCGTCTCCGACTTGTGCTACACTACATATGGATAGATACACCCCTAGCCACAGGAACGTGGAATCCCCACCATCAACGCTGTAAAGAGGAGGAAATAAGCACCGTCTCAATGCTCATTTGAGCGAGCAAAAAAAAAACACTGAATTAAACTTTCGACTTATAGATTAGACCCTTTAACGGTGCTGTTTGTTGCTGGCCACTTGACGTTTTTGGGTCTTGACTTAGCAAACCGTGATTTATAACAAAACAAAATAAGAAGAAACTGGCTACTGATGATGACGGCAATGATGATGATGACCAGCCTGGTGATGGCCCTCACCTCCTTCACCATGCTGTGGGCGAGATTGGGGAAGACATCGAGCGCGAAGAGGATGACCCAGGTAATGCCGATGCAGACGGCAGCGGTGCCAGCACAGATGGATCTTTTCCCGCACCACATGGCGGGCGACCACCACACCAGCTGTGTGTGGCAAAGCAGAGGGACCAGGCACAATTCAGTTTTTTTAACTAACGTGCTGGGTTTTCTTCCCCCTGCCCAGCGGTATATACCGTTAGTCACCATGTGCATGACCTGCACAGCTGTGCCACGTGCCAAAAATACGACAGTTAGCAACCCGCCCCCCTTTTGCAATAGACAAAGGTCAACCCCCCCCCCTCTGTAAAAACAATTCACTAACCCAAACAAGCAAAGTCATGCGAGGCAGAGCAAACGACATTTGTTCCCCTTCCTCCATACCTCCAATTAGCACGGTTGGCTACGTACGGTGCGAAAGAAGTTCAACATACATACATGGGGGGGGGGGGCGATGTGGTGCGTACTCCACGCCGAACTGCCTTTGTCTCCCCAGTGCTGATGTTGACTCACTACATCAGGTGCTCATTTTGATACAGAGTTAACCTTGGGGGAAGGCCAAAAAGTAAACTATATTTGTTTTACTAGGTAAGGCCCACTAAGCTGCATAGCTATTTTTCAGACGCGACCTGGCCACAAATTACAGCTTGACAAAGTGGCTTATCATGCGAAATTGTATAGCAGCCAAATACTCTAAGCGCGTGATGTTGATTCTAAATGTAGAGGGAAACCCGGAGGACCCGGAGAAAAATCCACGCAATAACGGGGAGAGAGAGACGCAAACTCCAAATATACAGCAGGCGTCTGGGTCGGTATCGAACCCACAACCTCCTGCGTACCAGGAAAAGTAGTTAACATCTCATCACTGTAAGCCAGGGATGGGAATAAACCCGAAGCCCTCGGATTGGTAGCGTGGCACAACAACCCCTATGCCACCACAAAGATACAGATCAACCTTTATAGCGTTTCACAAACAAGTTCGGGCTGAGCGTTGCAAGCCCCTATGGAGGCCGACACGCCACACGAGGGGGTGGGTGGCCATCACACAATGCCCGGTCGCCAAGAAGAGGCCGTCCACCTGGGGAGAAGGAGCGATGTGAATCACGTGCTGGTGTGCTCGTCGTTCTGCCTGGGTGGACGAGTCGACGACATCGTGAGATCGAGCTGGCGGTGGCGGCAATTTGAGGCCCCCTCCGTCCGGCAGTGGATTTTGCATACCAGTCAACCCCTTATCAGTGCCCTACCTTATTACAGACCAATTGAGACCTTATTGATCACGCCGTGACCTTATACATCTCAACGTTCATCCTAAAAAGTCCCATCACAAGGGAGAAACACAAAAAAATGGAAAAAATAAGAAATGCTGTCCGTATTGAAACGGCTGTACGCCGTATGGACCTGAACACTGAATGAATTACAGGGTAAACCGTATGAGTTGGCAGGTAAGGGATTATGAAAAAAAAGAATAGGTTTTACCCTTACTGGCAATAAAACAGGTGTTACGATGTTCAAACACCAAATAGTAAGCCTTTAGTAAAGGAATCAAGTTCGCATATTAACCACACAAACTTGTGGTGAACATGCACTGTTTGTGGTTAATGCGAACTTGATACCTTGTAAAAAGTTTATAATTACTGCTTGAACATCTTAACACCTGTTTTATTGCCAATAAGGGTAAAACCAATTCTTATTTTTTCAGATATGGGATTGACCACCATACACAAGGCAGCGAAGCGTCCCAACGCTATTGGTTGTGTGGTTAGAGGGAGCGGTTCCGGACCTCCGCTAGGTCGACTCAGCCTCAAACGATTACCTGGTGCAGATTGTGTAGCGTGGTGCTGGTGGCCACAACCACCGTGCCGGCCTTCATAGACTTCTGCTCGCTAACAGCACTTGCCCCTAACAGTATGTGAAGGCTTATACGGTGGCGAGGGAGATTCTTTACCTTTGTAATACATTTAAGAGGCTCGCAGATTATAACAACACAGCGTTCGAAGCGTGGTGGGAGGGGGGGGGGCTCTTGATTTGAAGCTTTCGTGACTGCAGGAATCCATACACTTTTGTTCTTTCGGTAAAGTCACGTAGGTAGAAAATAAAATTAATTCACGACGTTTCGGCTTTTAAAAAAACTTTAAAGCTTTTAAAACAGTCTGCATCATCAACAGACCACGCTTTCCCACCGGATGGCTTGATAAAAGCTTTTTTTAAAAGCTTTAAAACAGTCTGCCTCATCAGCAGTCCACGCTTTCCCACATGATGACGGACGCTTGTGTTGCGCCCGAAACGTCGTGATTTATTTGTATTTTTATTTGATAACTACGTGACTTTACCGAAAGAACCAAAGAGCTTAGAGGGGGGGGGGGGGTCACTCAAGTGTTTGGTACCAATCTGAACACAACCGTGGCTTTCTGTAGGGGTCGAGGCAGTAATCTCTCTGCTCGTGTGGACACAAATAATCATCCCCCACCACCAATTGCCAGCCATCACCACGCCCGGCCGCCTTTGTCTCCCCGCCAGTGTCGATGTTTACGACACACCGCACCAGGTGAACTCGTTTGAGGCCGAGTCGACCTAGGGGATGAGTTGCCTGGGAGCTGTTCGAGACGATCGTTCGCCGGTTTGTCGGTGGCCGGGTTCATATCGCCACTGCCACTGCCACACACACAACGAGTCGAGGTCATGGTCGTACAGACAACGACGACAGAAATTTACGGAAGTTGCGGTCAGATGTTGCAAACCCCCTCAACATCGCATTTCTAACCAACGATCTCCATTTACATGACCAGCAAACACACCAACACAGCTTCTAGAGCAGCACTGACTTGGCCTAAGCGCCACAACACAAGACGAGCGGCCCTAAAAACTCGCCTCCGAACGTCTTCTTCACGACAACAACAATAACAACATACTTGCAATGATTTCTTTCCTTCTTTCTTGTTTGCTCGGATGAAAGTCGTTGATGTTCATTCGCCGTCAGCCAACACCGTGTTGTCGTCGTTGTTGTTGTTGTTTTTGTTGTTGTTGTGTGTGTGTGCTAAACGTAGCCCAACACAGTTGCGTGCGTGTTGGCCCAGACGTCAAAATTGCGTGGCCGCTTCTCTTTCCGGGATTTAAACCGAATCTTCTCCCCCCCGCACTGCGCATGCGCGTGCCCCCCTCCCACTCGCCCCCCCCCCCACGGGGGGGGGGGCTCTGCCACCAGGGGGAGCAATTCGACTTCTGTTATTCTTGGTTCTTTCGGTAAAGTCACGTAGAAGGGAAATAATAAAATAATAAAATATATCTTTTATCTTTTTAATAGTTTATTATTTCCCTTCTACGTCGAGTCGACCGAGGGGATGAGGCAAATAATAAAAATATTGTTTAATAATAAAAATATTGTTTAATATATTTTTATTTTATTATTTGCCTTCTACGTAAAATAATAAAAATATTGTTGAATACTTTTTATTATTTTATTATTTCCCTTTTACGTGACTTTACCGAAAGAACCAAAAATATGAATCCCTGCAGTCACGAAAGCTTTAAATCAAAATTTAAATCGACTTCTGTTCGTGCACCGCAGACTCCGTGTGTGGTGGTGGTGGTGGACAAGGGCATTTTACGGGTAGGAAGGAACCTCCTGGGTACACCAGCCCACAAGGGATTATTGTGTCCGTCCGTCGTGCATCAAAAAATGGGAGGGGTGGGGAGGGTGGGGCTGGGTGGGGGGTGGGGCTGGGTGGGGAGGGGCTGGGTGGTGGAGGGTGGAGAGGGGCTGGGTGGGGAGGGGAGGGTGGGAAGGGGCTGGGTGGGGAGGGCCTCAGTGCTAATTTTACATGTGTATTTGCAGACCAATGTTTGCAGACTGGCATCTGAATGTGCTGGAAGTTGGGCTGTATATTGAGTGGCGTCAGTATACATAGCCCAGATGCAGGGGTTCATCCGCTATGAGCCTGGAGTCCAGAGTTATATTCTTAAGACCAAGGTACTCTGCAAACCTTCGGGCTACCATCAAAGATTTGTCCATGAAGCCACCCAGATATATAAACACAGAGACAATTTCAACCGAGAAGATGGGTATACACTGAGCAATCATTGGAAGGACGTTATTAACCAAGCAAAGTCGCAACTTGCTGTGGTGTATTCCAATCTTCCCTGCCGTTTGGCTGTTATCTCCGACTCTCTGAGTTGCATTGCCCTGTTAGGTGCCTCTGCTCCCTTCGCCTCGATGTATCGATGGTTCTGGCTGTGTGATGGGCTTTGTGTTGCGATCGAAACGTCGTAATATATTATTTTTTTTTATTTTAATTTTCTACCGATGTGACTTTACCGAAAGAACCAAAGAGTATAATGCGCGTATATTTCGCACTAGTGTTTTGGTTTTAACTGGGACACCCCTCCCAGGCACTAGGCCATGTATTATCGTGTAGATTGTAGAATAACAATTCTGGTACTATCGCTTCTGGGTCATCTGTAGTGATGTTTTTCAACACAATTTCTTTAAGCAGCCAAAACAAATATGAGTGTGCCAATGAGTAATGCTCCTGCATTGATCTGTAATGTTGACACAACTCGCTGGGTTACTCATGAAATACTTTAACAACCCGAAAACACAACCTACAGACACGCTGCAAAACCACAAAAATATACGCAGTGATTGCATTTCATTTTAGGCATGTTAACATTGAGGTACGAGTTAGGGCGTATTGTTCAGGTTAATTGGAACCACACATGGCGTGCCAATGAGTCATGTTCCTTTGTTGATTCGGTAATGCTGACAAATAGCTGGGTGACTTATTAAAAACCTTTATAAGAGTATCTCTACTTCGAATGAACTGTACAGCAACATAGTTTCACATCTCTTCACATTTGATATTTAAATGCTTTGGTTTTTACAATGGATGTTTATGCCATGGCTAATAATACTACGGCAGCTAACAGAAAGCACAACAATTATCACAAAAAGTACTAAACCTTACTTAATCAACATTCGTGTTTGGTTATTACTTTGTAGTGTATAGCATGGCATAAATAAATTGTAAATGTGTCTAATGTGAGACAAATGAGACAAGATTATCCTCAGGACATTTCAAAATATAAAATTCTATCTGCTGAATAGTGTTATTACTCGACAATATATTGTGGGACCCTGACATATGTCATAAGCATGTTACCAGATACATCACAAAGCATTTTCACTACACTACTCTTGAAAACTAAATCCTGTCAAGGTGGTTGCGTAGCTCAGAGGTTAAGAGGACAGAGTGTGGGGCCGTCCATAAATGACGTCACGCACCTAGAGGGGGGGGGGGGGTCAGACATTTGTGATGATGTGTGATGAGGGGTGGGTTGAAAAATGTGACGTCACATCAAAATGCGCAACTTTAAATAAATATAGACAACACATAATTAAATATACTTTTTAATACATGTTTTCTCCCACATTAAATACGCACTGCAATGACACTAGTTTAAACCGATTTGAAGCATGTTTTATTTTGGGGGGGCAGAGCTTTGTGACGTCATATTTGAGGGGGGGGGTCTGACTTTTTGTGACGTCGTGTGACGAAGGGGGGGGGGGGAGGTTAAAAATCGTCCAAAATCGCGTGACGTAATTTATGGACGGCCCCTATAGTGGTCTCAGCCCTATAGACCAAATGAATGTACAAACACAACCATCATATTCAATTTGGTTACACGCTAAATCTCGCTATTATCCAGCCTTGACAATGAAATATTGGCGTGACTGTCATACGCTGATCATTACTCTTAGATGCAGAGTGTGGAAGTGCTGCGGCATATTGGAGCGTTTATCTCAAAGCTTTTTCACACGCACGACGGACAAGTTTCGGGAAAAATGCTGCCTCCTGCTGTTTAGGTCAGAGGTCACTTGAAGGGACCACAGAGGTAGCCGCGTGATGTCCACCTCCGTGGGCCGTTTTATAACTCATATGGGTATTCTGCTCTGAAAGGGTTGAATGGGTATCGGTCTCATGGCATGATGTCGATAGCACAAGCAGGGTAAATCTGGGTCGGACAGCAAATAAAAAATAAATAAACGCCCTGACAATTCTGTTGACTGCACAGTGTTTGTTTCTGTTTCAACAGGATACATTGCATGACAATTTTTAATGTTTAAAAACAATCCCGTTATTTTCCAAATTGAAAACTTCCACACATCATGCTTTGACACGTTAAACTGAACATTTCCCTTGGCATATAAGTTAAAAGAACTAGCAGTATTTTGTGTGTACAATCTGCCATTTCAAATGTGTAAGCCATAAACATGCCATGATTCACTTTTATAACTCGGTGTAATATTTATGGCAATCTTAATGTTGCCACAATCCTGCTAAAAAATTGCATCCTTGAAAAATCTGTTGGTAACATACAATTAAGGCATTGCATTTCCAGCCACTCAGATAATGGATACAATTGTAATAAACGACTTCCACGATGACTCTGGACTGGTGTCTTTTATTTAACAGAATGTCTGCACAGCTCCGCTCTCTCTCTCTCTGGGTAGTTCTCTCGCTTCTCCATCCGCTGCTGCGACACGTCTCCCCCTCTCTTTCTCTCTCCGTTTACGCCGCTGGCTGGCAGCGTGCCTGGAGGAGAGGCGGCTTCGCTGGAGGTTCGCCACATGGTTGTTGGCGAGGAGAGGTAGAGCGGCGATGCAGTCGGACCCGAGGCTTCCCACACCGACCCCGAGTCCTCTCCTGCCCCTGCTTATATACCCCCCGGTGGAGCTAAGCCCCGCCTATGGCCACGCCCCCTCGTTGAACCCTCTAGATGGTTCCCGAATATTCCCCGTAGCTCCGCCCGTTACCTTTGGTCTAGATTGAATCCCTACTCCAGATTGGATACCGGTTACCCAGCGGTGGCTGTGCAGATGTCCCCTGTAACCCCCCAGGTGGCGCTCTGTCATTACACAATAATTCCCAAATCTGTGGAAGGATTAGTGGCGCAGTGGTTATCACACTGCACTGTGAAACGAATGACCGAAGTTTGAATCCCAGCTACGTATAACTAATTTCAACATACAGGTGTGCTATGATGCGCAGTTTACTGCATGTGCAATTGAATCCCGAGCCACTGCAGCTGCCCAAGGGTTCATCATGTACAGAATGTGTGGGGGAGGTGGAGTTGGGCTCTCAAACAACACTGGCAATGGTTGAAAAGTGATGTGTCACATGTCATTACTGACTGAAAATTTACATTCACCATGGTTCAATATGTAACTTTTTGTAATACAGTACTTTATTAAGTACTAGTTTACTAATTTTTTTAGCTTTTACCCCCCTGTTTTATAAAAAAAAGTGAAATTCTGTGAACATTTTATAAGGCTCAAAGTGAAGGGGAATTCAGTCAAACATACCAATGTGAGTATATGTAGTGTTACATGTCAGACGTACGAATTTCCTTCATGCATGCAGTTTATTTACTAAAATACTCTTGTTATTCTGTTTTTACAAGTGTGTAGATCATATACAGTTGCTTTCTCCGGTGGCTCACAGGTATGTCACTTTCTCAGTATACACTACATTTGAGTTATTATTAATTGCATGTTTGAGCCATACGGGTAGAGGAGAGAAGTGTGAAAGGTGAATTATATCTTGACTTAAAGCTTTCGTGACTGCAGTAATTCATATTCTTTGGGTCTTTCGGTAAAGTCACGTAAATAGGTTCAAAGATGCCGACCGCTTGTGTTGCCATCGAAACGTCGTAGTTTTTTGTTATTTTCTTTGAACCTATCTACGTGACTTTACCGAAAGACCCAAAAAATAGGCTACTTATATGCAATATTTTCACGACAAAATGTATAATCAAATGGAATTTGGGGTAACTTTGTTTTTCTACCACCAAAATAATTTTTGCTCTCTTGTGATATTTCTTGTTTTCGTAGACCAAAGCATACATTTCTCAACTCGGAAATTGTTTCTGCCATGGAACAATTGCCATACATGTTGGTATCGGAATATCTCTCTACAACATATAATCAAGATGAAGTAAAGTGCATCACTAAATACTTCAATGTGGTAACATTAACGAATATTAAAGAAAACAAAGGCTTGGCAGAAAAAGTCGAGGCCATCGGTATTTTATGCTGGAAACTTGTAGTCACCAAAGACCTCTTGGATAGTCTTCCTAACCTGAGGACGGTAGCGAGTGCTGGAGCGGGGGTTGACCATCTCGACTTGCCTCTGCTCTGGAGCCATGGCGTCTCTGTGTCCCACACTCCCGATGTTGTCTCTGCCACCACGGCTGACATGGGCATGGCTCTGCTACTTGCATCTGCCAGGGAGGTGGTGAATGGTAATTCACTGCAAGGAAGCCATGATCACCAGCAATCTGACATAGCCATGATCCGACAGTGACATGGCCCAGCGGTAGCGTGTTTGACAATTGTTGAAAAAGATGGCAGTTCAAGCCCAACGGTCACCCTAGTTAATACACCTGCAATATATCAGGGTCCATTGTGAAACAGATGGCTCATGTTTAATAAAGCAAGTGTACTAACCATGGCATCATGGTCCAGATTTGCGAAGACGTATCATTGGAAAGCCATGTCGCAACATCACCAGGCTCAAGCGTATGTTTTGATGTTCTAGATGCGCCAATCGTCTGGACATTTGTATAATTTGTTGAACAGGCCTGAAAATGCTGATGGGATTCAAACAGTTGAACTGGTCCAGTTTGCCTGCTTAAAAATACAGCCAGGAGGCATTCGTTCCATAGGGTCCATGGGCTGATGAATTAATATTTGTATTTTCAATGGAAAGACAATCTATTGTCCGTGACTTTGTGTTATTTTTAGACCTAAGGTGACGTTTCATTCGGTTCCCCATCAGGTGCCTACCTTACAAAATCACCGAATTTTATGGATGGAGGTCACATCTTGGTTGGCGTGGACGTCTATGGTGCCGCTCTTGGGATCTTAGGAATGGGTCGTATTGGCCGTTTGGTGGCGGAGAGAGCCCGTGGTTTTCACATGTCCATTCTATACCACAATCGCACAAGGAGGTACGTGTGTTCACCTTAGAAAGGATGCATTCACTATGCGCCATCTTCCAAGACCAGTCTCATGCCAAAGTGATTCGGCACCATGTTAGTAGCTCTCGTGATAAAATCCCCCAACCTTGTCCAGTCCTCAATCTCATGGCTCAGCTGGTTGTGTTATTAGCCTGTCCAATCTGTTATATTCTGAATCCAAGTTTATTTTTGTAGCCCCCTCAATGGTGCCGTGTAAGATGGATTTGGATAGTTCTCCAGATCATTCGATGTCCCCAAAAAAACTGCAGTTTTCTTAACTGAATAGTGGCTTGAGGTCATTTATCCTTATTGGGTGATAATTGTGCTCCTTAGAAATTCCTAGTTATTTGTGCTGATCAGAAGATTTGTAGTAACTTCAAAAAGTATACAATATGGTGACAAATTCTATAATTAAAGCCATTGGTTGAATGTTCCTATCTTTGGTGAATGACTTAATAAGAACATTAATTCCTGATCTAAAATGGTAAAGGTGCAGCTCTGTGATAACTTGGCAATGTTGTTACTGGCGGAAGGGTCTCCAATAGAGAAAGTCTGTCTTGAGAGTATTTCATCCTGTTATTTGGGTCTTTCGGTAAAGTCACGTAGGTAGACAAATAATAAAAAATTATAATTTATAATTTTATATCTAAGTGGCTTTACCGAAAGACCCAAATAATATGAATTCCTGCAGTCACGAAAGCTTTAAGAGTTGGCCAGACGTCGTGGAAGAGGTGGGATTGCTCACACTTTACCTCACCACATGCTGATCGACTGTAGTGTCACCATTTGTACTGCTGGGTGGACACAGGAGGAGGGGGGGGGGAGAATTTAATCAACTTGGTCATTGTTTCAACTGCTGCACTGGGAGATGAAGAGGCAACATTTGGATTACAAGTTCAGTGTACTAACCGTAAAATATGAGTTTGCTTTCAGCAGAGGTGTGGACTCGAGTCATGTGACTTGGACTCGAGTCAGACTCGAGTCATGAATTTGATGACTTCAGACTCGACTTGGACTTGCATAACAATGACTTTGTCCCACCTCTGAGGTGTGGACTCGAGTCATGTGACTTGGACTCGAGTCAGACTCGAGTCATGCATTTGATGACTTCAGACTCGACTTGGACTTGCATAACAATGACTTTGTCCCACCTCTGAGGTGTGGACTCGAGTCATGTGACTTGGACTCGAGTCAGACTCGAGTCATGAATTTGATGACTTCAGACTCGACTTGGACTTGCATAACAATGACTTTGTCCCACCTCTGAGGTGTGGACTCGAGTCATGTGACTTGGACTCGAGTCAGACTCGAGTCATGAATTTGATGACTTCAGACTCGACTTGGACTTGCATAACAATGACTTTGTCCCACCTCTGAGGTGTGGACTCGAGTCATGTGACTTGGACTCGAGTCAGACTCGAGTCATGAATTTGATGACTTCAGACTCGACTTGGACTTGCATAACAATGACTTTGTCCCACCTCTGGCTTTCAGACCAATACATGAGGAGACAGCCTTGGGTGCTCAATATTGCCAAAAGATTGACGAAGTCCTGGAAAAATCTGACTTCCTCGTGATCGCAGTCGATGCAAACCCAGGAACAGTAAAAATCATTGGAGAACGGGAACTCAAGCTGATGAAGACCAATGCCACGATCATCAACATCTCCAGAGGTATGACAATCAGGGGCGGTTTCTTCATTAGGGCGATTGGGCGACGCACCACCAATGTCATTCAACCACAGAGTCACGCTAGCCGTCACTGTCAGCCTCTGGATATAGTCCAATCAGCGTCATGTCACGTTCTGTAGAGTACCGCCTCTTTTTGGGCGATTTCACTACGGCTGATAATCGCCCCGAGTGGCCCCATAGACTTACATTCAAAGATGTTTTTTTTCGAACGGGGGCGCTCCAATGCATTCTCTATGGCTTCCGGGAGGGCTCGCCCTAACGTGCTTACGTCATCATACGTGCTTACGTCATCCTACGTAAGCACGTTTCATCCAACAATATAATTTATCGCTACCTAGTGGAATCTTTAATAAAATAAACTTGAGTGGTTTGTTTTAATAGTGAGTATATAAACAAACAAGATGTATTGTAAGAGTCACTTTATTTTTCATTAATATTAAAGAAGTGAAGTTGCTGTTAATTTATTCATTGCATGGGTGGACCTTATCCTTATCAATCATCCAGACATTTGCCCCCCCTGAGAGATTTTGCAGGAGCAGCCACTGATGACAATGGATTAAGTAAAACTGTCCATTGTAGATACAGGATCTTTATTTTAATGAAAATATTCATTAAAGTCAGAACGAAGTGTTAATGTGTCAACGTAATGTGGATGTCCAGGCATCGTGATAGACCAAGCTGCTCTCGTGAAAGCCCTCCAGAACAAGTGGATCAGAGCAGCTGCTCTTGACGTCACCGACCCAGAGCCACTGCCCAGGTACAATTAATGCATTTGGATTAATATAGTGTCATAATATTAATGTACGGAGGTGGGGAAGGGTTTCCACCTGTCCTGGTTTTTCCCAGAAGGGTTCTCTTGTTGAGGTAGTCGTGCTGGGAAATCAGCAAGTCTTCCCAGGACATTAAGTCCCGGTTGTTGCCAATTGCACAATAATAGTGGTTATACACCACTCAGGACAATTCATTGACATGTAGTTCACCTCTCTTCCCGTATTGAGAGATTCTTCTTCTTGTGACGTGCTGGCCTCAGGCATGGCAAACCTGAGGGCAGGTTCTTGCAAAGACACTCCATGACCGGTATGCTTTAACTGTAGGGAAACCTTAGGACAGCCGTGCATTGACAGAAGCTGGAAATTGGCAAAGGATGGGAATAGCACATATTAAATAAAAAGTTATTTTAACTTTTAGTATTTAACCACATTTCCTTCGTATTTGTTTGACTGAAAAATAATGTACTGCACAGTGCAGTGATAAGTGATTGGATTTTATCATAATTGGTTTGGTTTTTCTCAACTTTGTGGAACGAGTTGGAGAATATACAGCAAAGCATATTGCGTGCCCGACTTTCTGGGGACTAGGCTGTGAACGTCTGTAGAAAATTAGTTATACCATAGGCAAATAATGCAATGGTTGGGGGCGGTTAATTGGTCAGGGTGGATGCGAGTCGGATACGCGACGTTGTGCTGGATTGTTTATTTCAAAAGGTATTAACAAGCAATTTTGTGGAACTGTCCTTCCAAGGGATCACCCTCTGCTGCAACTTCCAAACGTGATCGTCACTCCTCACATCGGGGCCTCTACGGTTCACACGAGACGAGAGATGCTTCAAAGTGTTGCAGCAACTGCCCTGGCAGCTGTGCAGGGCCGGCCCATCCCGCACGAAGTGAAACCTCATCAGGGCTGAAACCCACTACTCGAGCACAACCCAGCGGCGTTGCTATATTCAGAAAATGCCGCAATGTGGATTGCTGCGATAACTAAACCTTGCTTCGCACCCAAATGTATTAACTACACAGGGACTGGCACCAAACTGCATTGACTACACACTGACTCACACCTACCTGCATGAAGTCAAATTGAAAATGTTTCACTTGCGTAATTTACAATCGCAATAGGTGCTGCTCATGATCGGGCAAGGACACATCACAGATGCATGTGCTGAATTCCCCCCCCCAAAATGTGGGAAATGTTTGCTCAATACAGGCAAAATTACTGCGGTCTTACTGGCTTTGGATTTGCTGTGCAAAGTTATCGATGGGTTATGAAGTAAGTCATTTGTTTCGATTTAACCAGTTCATGAAACAGACATGAAAACGATATTGTACTTGACAGCTGAGATCTAATTTTCTTTAATTTAAATATAATGTTGCACATTTACATAATTGCCTCTGAAGGGTGTTCTGGGGGAAAAATGGGACAATCCACCAATTGTTTCTCGTTAAGTTGGTGAATTAAGTTATTGACAAAGGTATTTAGGTGAATTGTGCAGTCAGCTGTGAGAATATGCCATAATAAAAACAACTATCAAAAGTTAATTGTAAAGATGTTCAAGGAAGATAACATGAGTTATTTAAATATATAATTTCATCTAGGACACCCCTACAATAATAGACTTAACTTACCATCATGAAATATCCAAATGGCATTTAAAACCTTCTGCTCAAACCCCTTAAGTGATCAGAGCTACATGCAAAATACAATATCACAGATCGATTTACAAATAATATCTAATTCACACAGAAAATGAAATTGCTAACATTGATGTACTTAACTGCATGATATCCATTTTGAAATTCAATAAATGCTGATGCTGCTTATTAATAATAGAAATACGTGTTAACTGTGACTGTAACTATTTTATAACCGGTAGTATTAATGTACGTATGAATTTCAATTTTTACATAGGCAATGCACTCAGTGATGCTGTTTTCCTAGTAATTTTACATTATAATCTATAAAATAACTTTTTTATCCAGGAAAGTCACACTAAGTCCTATTACTTTTTTTTCTGGAGGGCGCTGCAGTGCATTTTACTTTACGATGTGTTCTGCCAATTAATGAGTGTTTATACAAGTGGGAGACCAATGGAGCACCTGGAGAAAACCCACTCGCATGAGGGGGGCAACACACTATCCCCATACTGATGGAAACAGATGGAGAATAGTTCGCTTGCTGCACTGCCTTCCCATGGCAAGCCAGGGTTTCTATGCCTCTATGCCCACGGGAAGGGAATTTCACATTTGTGTGATCCACCAACACTCATCATTAAGCATTTCGCCATTATTCATAAACCACATATTTGCTTCGTGTAAGTACATAACATTGTTTATTTATACAGTGAAGGAAAAAAGTATTTGATCCCCTGCTGATTTTGTACGTTTGCCCACTGACAAAGAAATGATCAGTCTATAATTTTAATGGTAGGTTTATTTGAATAGTGAGAGACAGAATAACAACAAAATCCAGAAAAACGCATGTCAAAATTTTTATAAATTGATTTGCATTTTAATGAGGGAAATAAGTATTTGACCCCTCTGCAAAACATGACTTAGTACTTGGTGGCAAAACCCTTGTTGGCAATCACAGAGGTCAGACGTTTCTTGTAGTTGGCCACCAGGTTTGCACACATCTCAGGAGGGATTTTGTCCCACTCCTCTTTGCAGATCTTCTCCAAGTCATTAAGGTTTCGAGGCTGACGTTTGGCAACTCGAACCTTCAGCTCCCTCCACAGATTTTCTATGGGATTAAGGTCTGGAGACTGGCTAGGCCACTCCAGGAACTTAATGTGCTTCTTTTTGAGCCACTCATTTGTTGCCTTGGCCGTGTGTATTGGGTCATTGTCATGCTGGAATACCCATCCACGACCCATTTTCAATGCCCTGGCTGAGGGAAGGAAGTTCTCACCCAAGATTTGACGGTGCATGGCCCCGTCCATCGTCCCTTTGATGCGGTGAAGTTGTCCTGTCCCCTTAGCAGAAAAACACCCCCAAAGCATAATGTTTCCCCCTTCATGTTTGACGGTGGGGATGGTGTTCTTGGGATCATAGGCAGCATTCCTCCTCCTCCAAACACGGCGAGTTGAGTTGATGCCAACGAGCTCCATTTTGGTCTCATCTGACCACAACACTTTCACCCAGTCGTCATCTGAATCATTCAGATGTTCATTGGCAAACTTCAGATGGGCATGTATATGTGCTTTCTTGAGCAGGGGGACCTTGCGGGCGCTGCAGGATTTCAGTCCTTCACGGCGTAGTGTGTAACCAACTGTTTTCTTGGTGACTATGGTCCCAGCTGCCTTGAGATCATTGACAAGATCCTCCCGTGTAGTTCTGGGCTGATTCCTCACCGTTCTCATGATCATTGCAACTCCACGAGGTGAGATCTTGCATGGAGCCCCAGGCCGAGGGAGATTGACAGTTCTTTTGTGTTTCTTCCATTTGCGAATAATCGCACCAACTGTTGTCACCTTCTCACCAAGCTGCTTGGCGATGGTCTTGTAGCCCATTCCAGCCTTGTGTAGGTCTACAATCTTGTCCCTGACATCTTTGGAAAGCTCTTTGGTCTTGGCCATGGTGGAGAGTTTGTAATCTGATTGATTGCTTCTGTGAACAGGTGTCTTTTATACAGGTAACAAGCTGAGATTAGGAGCACTCCCTTTAAGAGTGTGCTCCCAATCTCAGTTCGTTACCTGTATAAAAGACACCTGAGAGCCAGACATCTTTCTGATTGAGAGGGGGTCAAATACTTATTTCCCTCATTAAAATGCAAATCAATTTATAACATTTTTGACATGCGTTTTTCTGGATTTTCTTGTTGTTATTCTGTCTCTCACTGTTCAAATAAACCTACCATTAAAATTATAGACTGATAATTTCTTCGTCAGTGGGCAAACGTACAAAATCAGCAGGGGATCAAATACTTTTTTCCCTCACTGTAACGCTTGTTCACCCAGAAAAGCCTCGTTGAGTCTGAAGACTTTTTCACAAGGGTCCTGCGAAGTTTTTTTCGTCTAAGTCAGAGGTCACGTTAAGGGACCACAGCCAGTGACGGACTGGGACTAAATATGTGGCCCAGGCGTTTGTAAACACACCGGCCCGAATTTCCGTGCGACCTCCTTGGCTTATTTGGGCTGGTCCAAAAAACACAAATGGGCTGGTGAGGAAGAATCTTTGGGGCTGTCGAATATGGGAATTAATTCCAACTGTGAGCGTAAATAAGCAATGAAGCGTATACATTGGAGAAAATGAAATATTATAATACTCGTGTAATAAACCCGCTCCGGACGATATTGTGTCTTTTCTTTATTCGTTCTCTGGTTACACGGCTCCCTCACACACCGGGTCACTTTTTCCCATTCCTTGAGCTTGGCGTCGCCCGCCCCATCGCTCCCTCACGCTGCTGTCAGACAACGTGTGGGAGACAGCCTCCGCCCTGCCACGTGGCCACTGGCGTGCCGGAGGCACAGACGTAGTCTCTTTCGTTGGCCCCTCTTCACTCTGCCAGGTGCTGTCTCTCTCCACCCCTTACATCCCCTGGCCCATGTGATACCCCCAGCCAATCCTCAGCCTCTCCCATGGAACCTTCCAGATGTTGCTATGCAGCCACAGGGCTACGCTCCCGGCTCGCCGTCCCATTGGCTGCGGGCTGAGGCCGGCAGAGCCTATCAGTTACCCCCACCGGGTGTATCCTCATATGACACTAGTGTAATTGCCCGTCATATGATGGTTTCATGAAAAAATATTTATTAAAAAAGACAACATTTTAAAAATTGTATTTTGGATGTTTCGGGTGCTGGTGGGTTATCGACACATATACATTCATGCAATCTAACCCCAAAAACAACCTTTTATTACGAGCGAGTTGCTTGAGTTTGAATCCCAGCTACGACAAATGTAGCAGCTGTGCTATGATGTGCAGTTAACTGCACGTGAAACGGGATCCAGAGCCACTGAAGCTACCCAAGGGTTCGTGCGCACACAATGTGTGGGGTAGGTGGAGTCGCAAATTGCCTTTGGGATTCCTTTCACATTCGGCATGTCCACGAGGATTGGCTTAAACGCACAGTCACGTGGGGGACGCCGAGCTGACGTGAGGGAATGTGTTTTTTTGTGAGACGGTTGTGACAATTCAGTTTGTCTTGAGCAGCACTCGTTGGGTGAGCATTTGAATTTATCATCACGTTGAAGTTACATAGAACGACTGTTGCACCTCAATCCGGAACGTTGCCGTGACACGAAGAGAGAAGTGGAACGCAGCAGAGTGACTTGTATGTCTCCCGAGTGTTATTGGCCGGCTGAGTCTCGCAACCGCAAGAGCACACATTCTGTGCCGGAGCTGTCAACGGGACAAAGTTAGGTGGGTTACATCAGTGACAAGTGACATTTGAACTAGTTCTCCCACGCCCCCCCCATCCCCCAAGCGTACATCAATATACATTGGCCAGCGTGGGTAAGGTAAGGTCAACAACCCCATGAAGTGACACGGCATGGTGAGGCCTTCATTCAACACTTATAATCGTTGTGTGGGATGTTATTACTTATTAGGCAGTTGCATTCAACATGGTTGAATTTAGTACTTTTTGTAATGCAGTATTGTACTTCATTAAGCGCTAGTTTACTCCTTTTGTGAGCTTTGACACTCCTGTTTTATTTAGGTAAGTGAAATCACGTGATTACTTAAAAAGGTTCAAAGTGACAGGAAATTCAGTAAAACGTACCATTGTGAGTATATATATATTACATGTTGGACCTACAAATTCCCTTCATGCATGCAGTTAATTTACTAAAATGCTCTTGTTATTTCGTTTTTCTAAGTGTGTAGATCATATACAGTATACTACAAACCTTTTGTGAGCCTCTGACCCTTTTGGTTTCTAAAGATAAGTGAAATGCTAATCAATACATCCAGTGAACGGTTCACTGTGACATGGACTTCAGCAAAACATACCATCACGAGCATATGAAGTACAGGCAGTCCCCGATTAACAAGATAGATGTGTTTTTGAAAATCTCCGTGTAAGGTGAAATCGTGTTAATCGAAGACTCATTTCCCATAAGGAATCATGTAAAATATGGGGGTTGCATTCGAAGCCCCCAACTCCATCGACAAATGTATCATTATTACTCAATCATTATCACTATATTTTGGTTAATGGTTGTTATTGTTGCCTTTTTAATATTTTATGCATGAATAATATTTTAAAAGAAAACAATGACCAAGGTAACCTAGACTCTGCGCATGTGAGCTGTGATTGGTGGAGTGGAGAGAGAAAAAATCACGTGAGAATATAAAACGTGAGGTGACCAGGTTGCACAACTTTCTTTCATTTTGATCGAATTCTGTCGGATGGTTGGAAGGGGACCTTCGTGCAAGCCAGTAGCACGGACAATATCGCACGTGCACTCATTGTTCTCATAGCGCTAAAGCACATGAAGTTTTGGCTCTAATGTTGCCACTTTTCTACTTTTATGACTTGCCCTACCACCAGAAGCATCACCACCACCACGTTTCTCATCCTTACCACGCATTATGAATACACTATTTTAAATATGAAAGTAAATGCGAAGGTATGGAATTGCGAGGTAAAATGCGCACACGTCTGAACACGTTGCATGCTTGGGTACTGTGCTGTAACGCAGGAACACATCGGAACATTATGGTAATGGCAAATTCCACTAAAATGGTATGAAATCGTGTTAATTCGATCGCGTTAATCGGGGTCTGTCCCTCTTTTGTGAAGCGTGTAAAAACTTATTCGTGCTAAACGGACTCGTGTTAATCGGGGACTACCTGTATTACATGTCGGCGTACAATTTGCCATCATGCATGCAGTTTATTTACTAAATGCTATTTATCCACAACATTTACAATCCTTTCACACATCTCCTTTCACACATTTACTAAAATAAATTGAGTAAATGCGTGAAAGGAAATGTGTAAATCCACAACATTTACAATCCTTTCACACATTTACTAAATTTTGTAATTACTAACATTTAGTAAAAGTAAAGGATTAGAAATGTTGTGGGTTTGCTCTCCAACACACCGATGTGCTGTACTAGTAACGAATTGGCATGTTCTGTTTACGAGATAAACCTTACTAATTGGCTGTGTCAGGTGGTGGCGGGTTAACGACACATTTAAATATGTACGCGATCTAACCCCGAAAACCTCTATTATGGATGATATTGATTGCGAAAGCCTCCTACGTGTTGAACTGAATGCTATTGATTCTCTGTTTTTCCAAGAGTATGCAAACCACATCCAGTTGATTTCTCCAGTGGCTCACGTCGATGTCACTGGTTCAGTATACTCTTCGCTACATTTGAATTATTAATTCCTCGACTTACGAAGGCATTACATTTCTAAGACCCGTTCGTAAGTCGATTTGTTCCTATCTCGGAACTCAAAATGTCTTGCCTCACGGCAGATGGGGAGCGTACGTTAACAGGAAGTTCCTGTTTTTTTATGCTAATGTTGGTCACGTGACCAGGAATTGACGATGTTAGATTTCCACTGTACCACGCGGGCTTCAGCCATTACTCAGATAAGTCAAGATGGCGGCACGCATCGCATCTCAGTGAGACCACAGCCGCACTTATTCATTGTGGGAGCTTAAGAAGCATTATCTGTAAGTTGTTTATATTCCTCTAATATTGGAAATGCTGTTGTAATGTTGGAATGACCGTTATAGCAATGTAAATGCCTTTATGGTGCCGTTAAGTTGTTGTAGTAAATACGAGGCCTAGTTAGTAACGAAGCCTGTGACTTTCCTTATTGTGGATGTTACTTGTGATTTAGTAGGTCGAGTCAGACTTGTGCCTATGTTGCGATCCTGAGAGTGATGACGAAGTATCTCATCCACAGTTTAGTGTTAAGTGTAATGCTGTACATTTGGGGTGCAGTGGGATGAATACACTGTGCCTGTATGCAACGCATCAGCTTGTGCCTTTGTCTAGTTGTTCAGGGGTAATGTGGGGGCCTGGTCCTTCCAGGATCTATTGTTATCTGAGACAATGTTCTGATGCTGTGGTGTTCATTGTGTGGGTGTTTCCGAATTATAACAGATGCTGTATCTGTGTTTTCTCACCAGTTTTACCTGTTACAATCAATAAATGATGATCGGAGTTGGACGGTCATCCTGGCTTCGAGGGTTTATTGAACACATGGTTGTCTACTCGACTAGCGGTGCAACGCAGCGCACAGCGAGGCCGAGATACAAAATGTAATTGTACATACGGCCAGTGTGATACACCGTGTCATGATTCAACAAAAAGGAAACATTTTGTTTCACTCATAAATAAGAAGAAAATTTTAAATTTGCATGTAAAACTGTAGTAAATATTGTATTAATATTCTTGGTTCTATCGCTAAAGTCACCTAAATAGAAAACCAAAAGTAAAAAAAAATGAAAATAAATATAATAGGATCAAATTAAAATTAAAGCAATAAAATAAAAATAATAAATTGAAAATAATAAAAGCAAAAAACCCACGACGTTTCGATCGTAACACGAGCGGTCTTCATCAGGTGGAGAAAAAAGTGAGGGCAAGCCTCCAAATGTAGCTGCTTAAAAGGGTTCCAGAGTGAGTGGGCGCGGGAAGGGGATGCGCAAGCAACACGAGCTGCGGAAGGAACGCGCTAATTTTATCTCATTTTTTTATTTTCATTTTTTTGTTTTCTATTTACGTGATTTTACCGAAAGAACCAATAATTTGAATTCCTGCAGTCACGAAAGTTTTAAGTCTAAAAATATTGATTTGTAAATAATACATAAAATTAAATAAAACAAAATCAGTTTTATTTTCATTTACCTTGAGTCCTGATGCTTTCTTCCTTGTCACGCGGAGGATCGCTCCGCCAAACAAAATAGTTCCCCAGTTTAGTTTGCAAGTCGGATGGTTAAAATAATCACATCTTATGGCGGTTTCATGATTGAGTCGGACGTTCGTATATCGGGGACCTTCTGTATTATTTTCATTTTGGAGTCATACGGGTGGAAAGGAGATGTGTGGAAGGTTACTTGTTTACATTATATTTTCACAACAAAATGTTAAATCAAATGGAGTTCTAGATAACTTTTTTCACCATCGAAATAATGTTTGCCTTCTTGTGACATTTCTTGTTTCTCATAGACCAAAACGTCAATTTCTCACCCGGGGAATTGTTTCTGCCATGGAACATTTGCCATACATGTTGGTATCAGAAAATCTCTCTGCAACATACAATCAAGATGAAGTAAAGTGCATCACTAAATACTTCAATGTGGTGACTTTAACGAGTATTCAAGAAAACAAAGGCTTGGCAGAAAAAGTCGAGGCCATCGGTATTTTATGCTGGGAACTTGTGGTCACCAAAGATCTCTTGGATAGTCTTCCTAATTTGAGGACGGTCGCGAGTTTTGGAGCGGGGGTTGACCATCTCGACTTGCCTTTGCTCTGGAGCCATGGCGTCTCTGTGTCCCACACTCCGGATGTTGTCTCTGCCACCACGGCCGACATGGGCATGGCCCTGCTACTTGCCTCTGCCAGGGAGGTGGTGAATGGTAATTCACTGCAAGGAAGCCATGATCACCAGCAATCTGACATAGCCATGATCCGACAGTGACATGGCCTAGCGGTAGTGTGTTTTCCACTTTTTGCAAAAGATGGCAGTTCAAGCCCAACGGCCACCTTAGTTAATACACCTACAATATCTCAGCGTCCATTGTGAAACGGATGGCTCATGGTTAATACTGCAAATGTACTAACCATGGGCCATCTGTTTCACAGTGGACGTTAACATTCTCATGTTATCCGAAAATGTAGGCCACGTGTGCCAGCATTATGGTTCACATTTGCCAAACTAGATCATTGGAAAGCAATGGAGCAACATCACCAGGCGAAAGCATATATTTTGATGATTTGGATGAGCCAATAGTCTGGACATTTGTATAATTCGTTGAACCGGCCTAAACTTGCTGATAGGACTCAAAAGTTAAACTAGTCTAGAGTTTGCCTGCCTAAAAATACAGCTGGAAGGCATTGGTTCCATAGGGTCCATGGGCTGATGAACTAATATTTGTATTCTCAATGGAAAGATAACCTCTTGTCCATTACTTTGTGTTCTTTTAAGACCTAAGATGATGTTTTATTTGGTTTCCCATCAGGTGCCTACCTTACAAAATCACCAAATTATATGGACGGAGGTCGCATCTTGGTTGGCGTGGACGTCCATGGTGCCACTCTTGGGATCTTAGGAATGGGTCGTATTGGCCGTTTGGTAGCAGAAAGAGCCCATGGTTTTCATATGTCCATTCTATACCACAATCGCACAAGGAGGTACGTGTGTTCACCTTAGAAAGGATGAATTCACTATGCGCCATCTCCCAAGACCAGTCTCATGCCAAAGTGACTCGGCCCCATGTTAGTAGCTCTCGTGATAAAATCCCCTAACCTTGTCCAGTCCTCAATCTCATGTCTCAGCTGGTTGTGGTATTAGCCTGTCCAATCTGTTATATTCTGAATCCAAGTTTCTTTTTGTAGCCCCTTCAATGGTGCCCTGTAGGATGGATTTGGATAGTTCTCCAGATCATTCGATGTCCCCAAAAAAACAGCAGTTTTCTTAACTGAATAGTGGCTTGAGGTCATTTATCCTTATTGGGTGGTAATTGTGCTCCTTAGAAATTTGTGTTGGCCATATTATTTGTAGTCACTTGAAAAAATATACACTATGGTGACAAATTTTATCATTTAAGCCATTGGTTGAATGTTCCTATTTTGGGTGAATTACTTAATAAGAACATTAATTCCTGATCTAAAATGGTAAAGGTGCAGCTTTGCGATAACTTGGTAATGTTGTTACTGGCGGAAGGGTCTCCAATAGAGAAAGTCTGTCTTGAGAGTATTTTATACTATTATTTGGGTCTTTCGGTAAAGCCACGTAGGTAGAAAAAGAATAAAAATTATAATTTATAATTATCTAATTTATAATTATAATTTTTATATCTAGGTGGCTTTACCAAAAGACCCAAAGAATATGAATTTCTGCAGTCACGAAAGCTTTAAGTCAAGATTGATTTGATCCGACTCTTCCGAGTTGGCCAGACGTCGTGGAAGAGGTGGGATTGCTCACACTTTACCTCACCACATACGACCTGCTGACCGACTGTGGTGTAAACATGTCCTGCTGGGTGGACACAGGAGGAGGGGGGGGGGGGGAGAATTTAATAAACTTGGTCATTGCTTCAACTGCTGCACTGGGAGATGAAGAGGAAACATTTGGATTGCAAGTTCAGTGTACTAACCGTTATATATGAGTTTACTTTCAGACCAATACATGAGGAGACAGCCTTGGGTGCTCAATATTGCCAAAAGATTGACGAAGTCCTGGAAAAATCTGACTTCCTCGTGATCGCAGTCGATGCAAACCCAGGAACAGTAAAAATCATTGGAGGGCGGGAACTCAAGCTGATGAAGACCAATGCCACGATCATCAACATCTCCAGAGGTATGACAATCAGGGGCGGTTTCTTCATTAGGGCGATTGGGCGACGCACCACCAATGTCATTCAACCACAGAGTCACGCTAGCCGTCACTGTCAGCCTCTGGATATAGTCCAATCAGCGTCATGTTACGTTCTGTGGAGTACCGCCTCTTTTGGGGCGATTTCACTACGGCTGAGAATCGCCCCGAGTGGCCCCATAGACTTACATTCAAAGATGTTTTTTTTCGAACGGGGGCGCTCCCATGCATTCTCTATGGCTTCCGGGAGGGCAAGCCCTAACGTGCTTACGTCATCATACGTGCTTACGTCATCCTACGTAAGCACGTTTCATCCAACAATATAATTTATCGCTACCTAGTGGAATCTTTAATAAAATAAACTTGAGTGGTTTGTTTTAATAGTGAGTATATAAACAAACAAGATGTATTGTAAGAGTCACTTTATTTTTCATTAATATTAAAGAAGTGAAGTTGCTGTTAATTTATTCATTGCATGGGTGGACCTTATCCTTATCAATCATCCAGACATTTGCCCCCCCTGAGAGATTTTGCAGGAGCCGCCACTGATGACAATGGATTAAGTAAAACTGTCCATTGTAGATACAGGATCTTTATTTTAATGAAAATATTCATTAAAGTCAGAACGAAGTGTTAATGTGTCAACGTAATGCGGATGTCCAGGCATCGTGATAGACCAAGCTGCTCTCGTGAAAGCCCTCCAGAACAAGTGGATCAGAGCAGCTGCTCTTGACGTCACCGACCCAGAGCCACTGCCCAGGTACAATGAATGCATTTGGATTAATATAGTGTCATAATATTAATGTACGGAGGTGGGGAAGGGTTTCCACCTGTCCTGGTTTTTCCCAGAAGGGTTCTCTTGTTGAGGTAGTCGTGCTGGGAAATCAGCAAGTCTTCCCAGGACATTAAGTCCCGGTTGTTGCCAATTGCACAATAATAGTGGTTATACACCACTCAGGACAATTCATTGACATGTAGTTCACCTCTCTTCCCGTATTGAGAGATTCTTCTTCTTGTGACGTGCTGGCCTCAGGCATGGCAAACCTGAGGGCAGGTTCTTGCAAAGACACTCCATGACCGGTATGCTTTAACTGTAGGGAAACCTTAGGACAGCCGTGCATTGACAGAAGCTGGAAATTGGCAAAGGATGGGAATAGCACATATTAAATAAAAAGTTATTTTAACTTTTAGTATTTAACCACATTTCCTTCGTATTTGTTTGACTGAAAAATAATGTACTGCACAGTGCAGTGATAAGTGATTGGATTTTATCATAATTGGTTTGGTTTTTCTCAACTTTGTGGAACGAGTTGGAGAATATACAGCAAAGCATATTGCGTGCCCGACTTTCTGGGGACTAGGCTGCAGGTGTAAATGTGAACGTCTGTAGAAAATGTAGTTATACCATAGGCAAATAATGCAATGGTTGGGGGCGGTTAATTGGTCAGGGTGGATGCGAGTCGGATACGCGACGTTGTGCTGGATTGTTTATTTCACAAGGTATTAACAAGCAATTTTGTGGAACTGTCCTTCCAAGGGATCACCCTCTGCTGCAACTTCCAAACGTGATCGTCACTCCTCACATCGGGGCCTCCACAGTTCACACGAGACGAGAGATGCTTCAAAGTGTTGCAGCAAATGCCCTGGCAGCTGTGCAGGGCCGGCCCATCCCGCACGAAGTGAAACCTCATCAGGGCTGAAACCCACTACTCGAGCACAACCCAGCGGCGTTGCTATATTCAGAAAATGACGCAATGTGGGTTGCTGCGATAACTAAACCTTGCTTCGCACCCAACTGTATTAACGACACGTTGACTAGCATCTAACTGTATTAACTACACATTGACTAGCATCTAACTGTATTAACTACACACGGACTCGCACTGAGCTGCATGAAGTTAGAATTTAAAAAAATTAACTTCCGTAATTTACAAGCGCAATAGGTGCTGCTCATGATCGGGCACGTACACATCATAGATGCATGTGCTGAATTTTACCCAAACATTTTTTAGAAATGTTTTGCTCAACACTGCGGTTTTACTGCCTTTAAATTGTATGGGATATGAAGTCAGTCATTTGTTCCAAATGAAACGTTTCATGAAACAGACATGAAAAATACGTTGTAACAAACAGCTGAGATTAAAATTGTTTTATTGATATATAACGTAAACATTTACATAATTCCCTCTGAAGGGTGTCCTGGGAGAAAAAGAGAATTCACCAAATGGAAATCGTTAAGTTGGTGGATTAAGTTGTTGACAAAGGTGATTAATTAGGTGAATTGTGCAGTCATCTGTGAGAATATGCCATGATAAAAAAAACAATTAAAATTAAATTGTAAAGTTGTTCAAGGAAGCTAGCATGAGTTATTTTACATATATAACGTCATCCAGGACACCCCTACAATCGTAGACTTAAAGTGCCAACATGAAATAAACAAATGGCATTAAAAACCTTGTACTCAAAAACCTTAAGTGATCAGAGCAACATGCGTAATACAATATCACAGATCGATTTACAAATATCTAATTCACACAGAAAATGAAAGTACTAATATTGATGTACTTAACTGCATATCTTTATGAAATGCAATAAATGCGGTTGAAGCTTATTAATAAAAAATAAATGTTAACGGTGACTATTTTATAACCGGTAGTATTAATGGAGGTATCAATTAAATTTTTTACATAGGCAATGCACTCAGTGATACTGTTTTCCTAGTAATTTTACATTATAATCTATAAAATAACTTATTTATCCAGGAAAGTCATACTGAGTCGTATGACTTTTTTTCTGGAGGGTCCTGCATTGCATTTTACTTTACGATGTGTTCTGCCAATTAATGAGTGTTCATACAAGTGGGAGGCAAATGGAGCACCTGGAGAAAACCCACTCGTGTGAGGGGGGCAACACACTATCCCCGTACTGATGGAAACAGATGGAGAATAGTTCACTTGTTGCACTGCCTTCCCATGGCAAGCCAGGGTGTCTATGCCTCTATGCCCACGGGAAGGGAATTTCACATTTGTGCGATCCACCAACACGCACCTCCAGTGCTGGATTATATAGGCGTGTGCTGCCACCACCACTACCACCACGCTAATATCTGGCACGTCATGCAACATAAATACTGCTGGGTCGTGACATGCGACTGCTGTGTTAGCTTACTGCTAATTTGATAAAGTTTAGGGTCATCATTAAGCATTTCGCCATTATTAATAAACCAAAAATTTCCTTCATGCAAGTGCATAGCATAATTGTTTATTTATAACGCTTGTTTACCCAGGAAAGCTTCGTTGAGTCTGAAGATTTTTTCACAAGGGTCATGCCAAGTTTTGCAGGAGGGAACTGTTGCCATGCACCATCCAAATTCAGTACTTTTCAGGGAATTATTCAGCACTGGGACATTTGACCAATACCGGTGATATTCTAGGTTTTAATTAGCTATGGAGGAAAGCAGAAAACACGGGAGGATATTAATGCAGAACAGGGGGAGCACATACAAACTCCACACAGAAAGGCACCCGAGTCGGGAATCAAAGCCAGACTTTTAGTCAGCATGAAAGAACACCCGCAAATCATCGAGAGATTAGTCAAAGAGAGACTGTAGGAGCTGATATGATGTCTTTGTATTAACTTCAGGTCCTGTGAAGACAAAGATATCATCTCTTACTTATTCAGTCATATATAGTTACTAATAGAGGTGCATTTATTCATCAATTAATATAAATTCACAAGCTCACAATACATGCACAGGGTCATGTCATAATACATTTTCTGTATAGCCACCAGTGGCTTATTCATAAACTGAAATGTTAACTCAAGTATTGATTCTTGAATTTGCGCAAAAACCTAAATCATAAAAAATATTGATCATTTAGGGGGTGAATATCTTTAACGGTAGTAAAAAAAATTCGCCCATGAGTATAGTACAGCCAAGGCTAGTTATAAGCACTGTTCTGATATAAGCAACACATCATTACACTGGTGGGGGGAAGGCAAAGGCCAACACTTCTGCAACACTTTGTGTATAAGCACACCTGCAATTGCTCGCTGGGGAGTGCTTACACCTAGCTTTGACCGTATTGCGGTTTTGTTTATTGCTACGAAGCATGGATAATTTATTTTACATGAATATAAAATGGGCTGCTATGAACACAGCATTAGTTATTGATTCCATGTTATAGAAGTAGTCATGAGTGAACACCTCACTCACCCTGTGGCTGTGGAAACTCCTCACCAAAACGCTTCCTGAATGCGGCAGCTAAAAAGTAAAAAACACGGGAGTTAATTTGGCACAGAGTGCTAAATACCCAGACACACAACGAAAGAGGTTTGCAGACACGTTTACAAAAATATACATCCGTACCCTAAAAGATAGAGTGCAAATCATCTTTATCTTTTTGGCTGGAGGTGCTGTGTATTTTTGTAAACGTGTGTCATCTAATCATTGTTAATTCATGGACACTGGATGTGCAATCAAGGTCGCCGGTATGATCTCCTGGTGTGGCAGTTGTAATAATTGGCAAGTTTCTCTAATCCCGCTGTCTCTGTCCTTACCAGCAGACTATATGTGTACAGCCCAGTCGATCGGCTGGTCAAATTGCCTGGCCAGCGTGGAAGAATAGGCCAAAATACGCACAGGAGGGGGCTCTTTAAGGCTCCCTCTAGCAGAGGCCCTTCCGATAGCAGAAACATTCGCATTTGCAGAGCTGCACCTTCACCTTTAACCGAGTGGGAAACGTGGATAATCACGAATAAACTATTTGTGTTTTTCCAGTTAAGGCCCACTGAGCTATAAAGTTTTTTTTATGAATTTTGGCGAGTCGGATCACTTGTTATCTGTGTGAGGTTCAAATTTTACGAAGAATTAAGTACCAATTCCAGGTCATTTCAGGTCAAGTCAAGTCAATGGAAGGGACAGTTAATGAGATGAATTTGTAACCAACTTATTTGTCACTTATCTGCAGGACATTATGGCAGTACCATTGGTATGGCAAATTCAGGGAGACTGTTTACCACAGATAATAGGAATTTTGGTGTAATTGGTAATCTAATTACAGAGCTTTTAATCTCAATCCCAAAACTCTAACATAGAGGCAGAAACACTAACCCCAGGACACCTTTGGACAATACTTGTGACTGTTGTCAACCCATGGCCCTACAAAGGGCAGCATATCATTGGTAGGGCTATTTTAATCAACACAATAGACAGGAAGGACAAGTTCAAAGGGCTTGCATAATGCACATGCATAATGTACGTTGCCTCAGTAATCCTCCCCCCCAACACTGTGCAAGAACGCAGCTGCGTGGTCAACACATCTACGCCTCTATATAAGGAACGAAACAGTAAAACTTCTCCACAAATCTGTCTGTCGGCTGATGAAGCTAGTTGTAATTAATAGTGAAACGTAGTACTCAGATTGTAAATGTTGTGGCTTGGCTCTCCAACACACCGGTGATGCTGTACTAGTGACGAATTGGCCACGTTCTGTTTACGTAACAACCCTTACTAGTTGGCTGTGTCAGGTGGTGGCGGGTTTTAACGACACTTTTATATATTTACGCGATCTAACCCAAAAACCTCTATTATGGATATTGGTCGCGAAAGCCTCCTACGTGTTAAACTGAAGTGGAGGAAGACTGCGGAAAATATAGCGAGATGAAAAGGAAGCGACTACTGGACAAGAGCCACCGGGGAATTGAGTAAATGGAAGAAAATTGAGGTCATTTCCCAGCAGTGGGAAGTTACAGACTGATGACAACGGAACAACAAAACAAAGGGGGAGAAACTTACTCGACTCAAGTTAGAACTTTCATTAATTTGTGCTCCAAAATCTCAGTGGCTGTACACAGGGGTTTAACTCACTCAGCTGTTTGTGCCTCTTCAGCTCTTTGGCGAATGTGACCCCCTGATCTTGTGCGGAAAGCCCAGCCATGAGGCCATGACACATCAGCCCCTGCAGGAGTGACAGCCAGATGTTTTATGTTATTAGTTTTCAGTTATTCGGTTGAGAGTGGCTTTGTCGCTGCAGTGATTCTAAACCTTTTTGGCATGGCAGTCCCCCACCTCCCCCTGCCCAGCCAAGTTACAAAGGCCACATTACACTGAGAAATCGCATGTCCAAGCCTCCTGTATGTGTTAGCGTGTATTAGTGTGTTATGTTGGCGTGGGGAGTGGTAGTGGAGTCGTTAGCGTACTGCGCTACGAACCCAGTGACCCGAGTTCCTGCTCACGGCCAAAACCAGTGGCGACTTTCTGAACTGGTCCTGGGCTTCCCCTAGGTAGACTCAGCCTAAAATTAGTACCTGGTGCGGTGTGTAAACATCGTGACTGGGGAGACAAAGGCGGTCGGGCGTGGTGCTTCAACAGTATGTTAAGGCTATATGGGGGTTCTTTGTCTTTGCTGTCGTGGCACTGATGTTTACAGAGTACATCCAGAATTTCTCCTGCACGGTATCCATGCCGCAGTACGAGTCCTCCTTAAAGGCTTTTGTTGTGCCCCCCCGCCAGCGAAACACAACCCACAGGTTGAGAACCACTGCCTTTGTGGAAGAACTTAAGAAGAAGCGTTAGCAGTACACGGGAATGACACCTTCCCAATTTAGCGCAGCAGTATTACGTTACGCTCATTCAGACTGCGTACTTCGCACCCACTGGTATGTTCTAGAGGTTCCTAAAAATATGACTGCCCACACAGCCTCCCTGCCGAATTGTTTCTTCTAGGTTCAGGCTTGCTCTGCTTCGGTGTGTACCTTTTCATTTTGTTTCTGGTCATATATGATCAAGCGGCTTGAACTATGAAATGTCTACGTTGACATTCACACATTTTTTGCACCAGAAATTCAACAGCCGACAATGTAATTAAACATGTCATCGGAGGCTCCAAAATACAACTCAGTGATATAAGAGAAGCGACACTGGTTATAGTGCAACACATGACATACAGTACTTACTCACCTCACACGTCCGCAGTTTTTCATTTATTCTGTCAATTTTCTTGGCCGACCGTTCAATTGTGGGTCTCATCTCCTCTAATCTGCCAAGACATGCACACAAAGATACGTGCACACAAACACGCTTCTTGTGTTCTCATTTAGGATTAAATATGCACTCGTAAAACGAATGACGAGTGATAAAAAACCTAAGAATATGAGTGATAAAAAGTATTATTTTCAATTAAATGAAAGGTTTTGGAATGTGATTACTTACTGCTTTACCACTGGGATGGCCACTTTGCTTTGTTTTTGCTCTGAAGCTTTGTTGATTTGTGGACAATTGTTAATAGCAGGGTTAGACTCAGCATTTATCTCTAGGAAAAAATGTACACACAACCAAACTCACATTACAATGCAAATAGATTGCCTATAGGCAGAGCCAAAATTAGATAAAGCTCACTGAGATTCACAGCAACATACTGTACGATCCTATTGAGTTATACATTTTAAATCGATTCAATAACTTAACTGTGTTAAAACTCAAGTCAAATCTCATATGGTGCTGTTTTTTTCAATGTATGTAATGTAACTCTGCAAGCACTGCAGACATACTAGGCTTTAGTGCTCATTTTAAGCACAGTTTCCTTAAGCAGCCAGGGATCTGAGTTCTGAAGTCATGCAAGGTTGTTTGACCACACTTCACCATGTTTGTCAGTGCGGGTTAGTGAACATCAATGGGCA